CCGCCGCAGCCCCACCGGCGCCCTGCGGCAGCAGGTTCGGGCGGCTTCACCTGGGCGGGCGATGTCGGGTACCGGCTCTCCGCCGCAACGGCTGCGGGGCTCGGGCTTGGGATTTCAACAAGTTTCCACCCAGACCGCACCGCCGGGCCGGGGTCAGCCGGGCTGTGTGTCGCGGGGGTCGGTAGTTAATGGGACGGAGAGCTCCTTCTCTGTGAAGGGAAAGTCACCTAAGGAGTGACTCTCTGCACAGAAGTAATCCGTTGTCGGAAGTCAAATTGCTTTTAATGCCCATTTTTTGTTACATCGCCGCCTCTCTGATCTGTTTCCTTTTTCTGTGACAGCCGTGGCATTACTGGAAACTAGGGGTAGGATTTAGCGTTTACTCTGCAACTGCTTTGGATAACTGTCTTTCATGTGATCATGACAATTTTAAACAGGAAAAATATATGTGGATTTAATGCGTCATCAAATTAAGTGCCAGAAAAACCTGAAAACGGCTTTCAAAGGTATCTGTTAACTATAATGAAGGATTTGGAGTCCCAACTTATTTCTTCTTTCTTGTTTTGTAACCTACTACCTATACAGGGAATGGTGGAGGTTTGGGGGGGATAACCAATCTCACCTTCATGTTGTTAAATGCTTTTAAATCAGACTTTTGTAGTCATTCACTCAGCTGGGGCAAGGGACAAGCAATAATCTTTCATTGGATTGTCTTTGTTGTTATTGCCACCTGAAGATTAAGGAAGAGCTTATGTCTTAACTAGTTACGTTTCAGTTTCCATTTCGTGACACAAGTTTGCATTTGTTGAATTTATCTTTGATCTTGAGCGTATTGGGAAGGTTTGACGGTAACATGATCTTTTTATTTAGGTTACCGTAATACTTAATGGCCCATTCAAGACACAGAGCCCTGCAACAAGTATCGTCTCGGGGTGCTCGAAGTACAGATGTGTTGGGTGATGTAGCATTGCAGCTTGGAGATAGCTCTTACAGATAAATTGACTTTGGGGCACGTAGAGGTACTGGCTGCACAAAGTTATGGAGAAGCTCCTGATTTAGGGGAGACGCAAAAGAAGATGTGAGGTGATGAATTTTGAATCAACAAAGTACATGGGCATAAAAGAAGGCCAGGTACCATTAATTTTTTAATCCTTGATCAGCATAATGAGAATGATGGTCTGGCTTGTTAATCGTTATTACCTGGATTGAAATCACCTTTTTACTTCATATAAACGTAACAGTTTTGACCAAGTTCAAAACAGTAAGTTAGTTCTCTCCTGCAGATATGCTTAGTTCTGTTTCAGTGAGTAGGGTTAGCGAGGTCAGTGTGAATATTCATAGCAGTAAAATTAAGTGTGCTGTGCTTACGAAATTGGGGCCTTTGGAAAGTCCTTGCACCTCTTGCTTTTGTAGGGACACATCAGTTCTCCTTGATAGCTGTTGGGAGCTCTTTTGTGTGTATTGTAACAAGTAAAATTGAGTATCAAACTAAATGTAGTTCCAGTTTAACTACCCAGCTGCTATCCCATTTTGCATGTATATTTGTGTGTGCATGCATGCACATGTGCATGAGGGTGGCATTAACGCTCCTGGTTGTCACGGGGTGGGGGTGTGGGGGGGAATTTAAAAATGAGAGAGAGGGGTTCTAATTGCTTAAAGAATCACCTCCGGTTGTATTAGTAATAGAAAAATGATTTAACAGGAATTTTTATAAAAGTGCGACTTCACAGAATTCGATGGCAAGGTTCGCTCTATTACTTAGTACATGGATGAAATGCACACAGGAAAATTAAATCAGAATCAAGCTAAACTTATGTATATAGGGACCGAAAACGTAATAGGGTAAAAGGGAATGTGGGAAAGGGTAAGGGAGACCCTCCCGTTGAGTCACGAGGTTCAGAGAAGACCCCCTTGCTTTCTAAACTCCTGTTGGAGTCTAGGTGCGGCTGGATCGACTCCTAGTCCCAGACTTGGGCAGTGGTTTATATCTAAAGGGATTATGAGTGCAATAGCAGCCTAAAATCCATTTATGGTTGAATAAAAATCATGACAGTAATTTAAGTATAAATTTGAAAGTAATCACATCTTATAATATACTTGCTATAACTTACTTACTATAGACTATTCAGGTTAGTACACGCATGTGCATAAAGACATTAAGAGAAAGACATATAAGAGGGTAAAAGAGAGAAAAAGAGAGAGAGGAAAAATAGGTATGCCTGTTAAAAATTCCCCTCGAGGTCAGTGAAAATATTCATGTCAATGCTTTGGTGTTTCTCTCAACGGGCAAAGGGTCGAGCCTCGAGCGGAGAGAATCAGTCCTGGCCGTGTCGGCTTTCGGCGACAGACCTCCAATTTTCGCAAACAGACAGGAGAGTTTGGGAGCTCCGAGAGGCGTCCCGCTCAGGGGGAGATGCTGGTCCCAGCCCGCTGCGGTCCGGGAGAGCTCCAAGGGCCTCCCGTAGTACCGCTGCTTGTAGGTTCGGGAGGTGATTGACTTTTGCCATCAACACATTGCTGGGATGCCAGCTGCGCTGGTACCATTTCACATGCAGATAAGGGAAACTCCGAGACTGAGAAGAACTCCAAACACAGATAGGGACTGCTCCCAGCCTGTCAGGGGAGGACTGTACTAACAAGGTCTCAAGGTCGTTAGGAGAGAGAACTGGCTGCAGGTTGTTGTGAGAAGTGTCCATCTCTCCTCCCGTCCCCCGCCTCCCTCCGCCGGGCAGCAGGAGTCCTTGAGACGCACAGCAGATCTCCCTGTCTCAGCTGGGGAAGAGTTCCTGGCACAGCCAAGGGTCGCTTCGCTGCCCGGCTCCTCACGCTTGTGCGAAGGGCTGGCGAGCCTTCCCGAGTTTGTAAATCAGCCTGGAGAGGGGCAAAGAAATGCACCACCACACTGGTTTACCTATCTTTTTGCTACGCCAGTTTCCTGACTTTGCTGTCATCGTGAACAAATTGTTTCTTGATTGTACAGCTAACAAAATTGATTGCATTCTTCACTTGTTTACTCATAATAATCTTAGTGAAAAACTACATTTTTTTAATACTTCTTTTTGTAAGTAGTTTTTAGCATAGTGTTGCAATAATCTTTTTGTAGTTGCAAATCAGAAAGGTGTGCTGTTAATTGGATAATGTATAAAGGCACAGTTATTCTCCAAGTTTTGTATTCAGTGCCTATCAGATGCAGGCTGAAATGATAATGATTTGTTGCATGTGTCAAAGTGTAAGACTTGACCTGATAGATTGTTTTATAGTATTTTGTAACTTGTAGATATTGTCCAAAATTTCTTTTAGCTAAAGAAAAAAAAAAAAACCAACAACAAAACCCCAGAGATTTATTTGCTGAAAAAGTATTACCTTTTTGAAAGCTTTCTCAGACTTCTGAGTTGGCATGGATTTACAAAGGGCAAGTTGTGCATAACTAACCTGATAACCTCCTGTGATGAGATGGTGGGCTTGGTGGATGAGGGAGAGCAGTGAGCGTTGTTTATCTTGACTATAGTAAGGCTTAGACACAGTTTCCTGTAAGATCCTTACAGACAAGCTGTTGACGTATGGGTCTGGATAAGTGGACAGTGAAGTAGATTGAAAACCCATGGAATGGTCTGGCTCAAAGGGCTGCCGTTGGTAGCATGAAGCCTAGCTGGAGGGTAGCTGAGCACTGGAACAGGAGTTGTACAGGGCGAGGTTGTGGAGTCTCCATCCTTGGAGATATCCAGAACTCAACCGGACATGGTCCGGGGCAACCTGCTGTAGCTGACCTGGCTTTTGCAGGGGGTTGGAGGGTGTGATCCCATGAACTGCCTGTCAACCGTAGCTGTTCTGTGATTCAAACTCATTTTGTTAGATTAATGATAGGTTAATAAAGCAAAAATATTTTGCACTTCATCTCTTTGTCTAGTGATTCAGAACTAATTCCAAAAGACTCTGAAAATTACTGACAGACCTTCAGAAACAAGCACAATTTAATTGACATAGCAAACTTTACTGACCATTTGTATTTAATAACATAATTGTTTGTTTATTTACCATCTGTTTAAAGAAAGGTGTGATTGTCTAAATATGTGGGTTCTGATAGTGAAAGATTTCTGCAACTCTGGGTAAAGTACTTAATCTTCTTCTCCCTACCTCGTTAATCCTTTTTCTCTATCCCCAAGTATTAAATGGAAAAGGTCATTTGTAATTAAAATTAAAATAATCAGATTTTTATAAAATGCATTGGATTACTCAAATGGATGCCATGATGTAACAGAAATGAGCCTTTACCATAAATGTATGATTGTCTTTATGCAGGTTTTAGGAGGGGTGTTACAATGCTTAACTAATGTCTTTTTGAATGAAGCATTCTGTATGCGTGAAAAATATTAGGCATAAAAACTGCTGTTCACTTTAAATATGCAATCCACTTAGAAGGTTTGTCCTGATGTCATGGATGGCAGCCATCTCTGTACTTATTGGTGGCAAATCTGATTAATAATGTAATTTAAATTCTGCTGAAAATACAGAAAAATAGCATTAACATGTGGTAAACATTGATAGGGAAAGGAATGATTTATTCTTAACCTGAGTTGCTTTGTTTGAAATTTATTTAAAAGCTGATGTTCATTTGACAGCCTTTAGTGATTCATTTTGGAACTGTTACATACTAAAAGCATGTATGATAAAGAAACAGTCAATTCATAGACTTTTTTTTTTTTTGGCAGATTCTTTTGGTGTCCATGCATATCCTAAGGTTAATTCTTTATATGCATGTGCTTTAATTGACATAAATGTGTTTGGAAAGAGCTCTTCTTGGTTTTTACTGTCCTCTGTTAAGACAAAGGTAGATTTACTTATCTTTTTACTTCTTTCCCAAAAGACATGTTCCTCTCTCCTGGCCTGCCTTGTATCCTTCCCGTGCGCCTGGTGTACCTGGATCTGCCTCCCCAAGGGCGGCAGCACGGGGCTCGCTGAGCAAAATCTGGGCAGCGTCATGCTACAATGCTGTAATGGGACATGAAAGTACTGAAGTATTCCGCCAATCTGGCTGGATTTATGTGTACAGCTGACACTCTCTGTCTCTGTTTGGGAGATACCACTGTGATTTGCTCCAGACCAGAGCAGTCTGTAGCACTTAGGCATGCAGTGGTTCTGGAAGTGCCCAGGTAACTGTGAATTCCAGTGTGGTCACATATGGCAGATCAGCAACACAATGGTTGCTTAGTGTTCATGCACACAGGCTAAACCTAAAATAAGTTTCTTTTTGTCACAGAACTGAAATTACTCTCCTGGTTTTGTAGTTCTAGCAATATTACCGATGTTTTAAAGTTATGTGCGCAAACTGTTAGGGCTAGGTGCTGTAAGAGGGTGAAGAAGTTCTGTGCTTCTGTCTGCCTCGTCTGTGCTTTGAAAGTCATCAGCAGATCAAATGAGTTGGGCAGTGTGTTTAGTTGTACTGAAGCACAGTGTTAATTGTACCTTCCGGTTATCTCACCTGGAGACATCTCCAATCCTGTGTTCTTCCTTCCTCTCCTTTAACTTTGTTTTCTACTTATGCAGCCTGCAACATCATTATCCCTGCTTCTTCTTAAACCTTTCCTCATATATCTACCCACTGGAATATATGAGGGCAAGGAAGCCTACATATGTATCGGATGCTGTACTGGCCACAACTGTTTCTCTTTCCCTGCACGCAGGGCATGGAAATGCTACCAGCTAGAGGATTACATCCACTTGCCAGTGACAGGTGCGAAAGGAAACTGGTTTTATTGTCCCAGGGCAATGCGAAGGGGAAAGGTAGCTCTCACTAGCTGCTGGGCTTCCTACTATAAATTAATTTTGTTTGGTTGCTTTTTCTTGCTGTAGAAATCCTGGTTATGGATGCTGTTTCAGGGTAAATAACTTGAGGCTTACGAGATTTAATGAGGTCTTGAGACTTCCCATCGTGACGGAAAGTTGTGGGAAAACTTGAGAAAATTGCCAATAGAATGCTCCTGTTTCAGGAACAGTTTGTATACAGGTGGAGGAAGGTTTGTGATTTTTTTTGCCTGTCTGTTGCTGTCACTTGGAAAGATGAAAGTATATGCAAAAACCAGATGGACAGGAATGCTAATAATTTTTTAAAATACTGGAATTACTTTCCAAGCGTGGGTTGTGGCAGAAGGTAATAACCCATATGATAAAGACTTTGAGTCCTGCTGTGGTTTGTGTGCAGAAGCTTTTTGTTTAGGTGTTGTTCTGATTTGCTGCATATTAATTTTATTTCGTATGGCAGATGAAGCAGAAAAATTACATGACTCTACCTTTAATCTGTTACAGAAACAATTGTTATAAAGCTTTCTGACTGTGCATCTGACCTTTGTCTTTATATCTGTGGCTATCCTACCTAGTCATTATATTATATTATATATATCATTATATTATATTGAATAATAAGCTACTGTTAACTTTAAATTTTTTTCTATGTATCTGCCTTGTAATGTCATTATCAGACTTTGATCTGAAATTACTATTATGTTTTCTGATTGTAATTTGGTTCAGTAAGTTAGCTGTGAGTAGTTTACCATAGCTTACGAGTCCTGAAAGTGCTAGTTAGTATTTAGAGGACTATGGTTTGATCAAGATGTTTACGTGAGTCTTTGATTCAATATTTAATATGTTGTACTTAAGAAATCAGTTTAATAGCTTTACTCAAATAGGAGTTTATCCCAGATTATGAAATTCGCCTAAATACCAGCCTTAAGCAGTGAAGTTGAAAGAGTCACTTGACTATTCTACCAGATTAGCATATTATTTTTAGAGGTTTTGGATCATCTGCTAATCTGAAGAATCACTTTCTCTTTAAATACAAAGAACATAACTGAGATGTATGTATCTATAACTGTAATTGGCTTGTATTTTGACAATGTAGTGCACCTAGTAACAAAAGCATGAAAAAGGCTGAGGTACTCAGTGCCACTTTTGCCTTGGTTTTTACAGGGGAAAATCAAAATCCATAGGACCAGACAGTGGCTGATGTGGTTGGGAGACTGCTCTCTGTCTGGGAGGTCATGGTAATGGGGGGAAGTTCCTGACGACCATGGAAAGTCCTGCATCTGAAATGGCACACAGGCTGGGAGACAACGGGCTGGACAGCAGCTTTGCAGTAAAGGACCTGGGCATCCTGGTAGATAAGAAGCTGTGTGTCCTTGCGGCCAAGAGAGTTGCATGCTGGACTGTATTAGCAAGACTGTAGCCAGCAGGCCAAGAAAAAGAGAGGAAGGATTACAAGGCTGCACTGCAGGACTCTGTGCAGTCTGGGGCTTCCCAGTACAAGGAAGATGTTGATGTGTTGGAGTGATCCAGTAGAAGGCTATCGGGGTGGTTCAGCGTTTGTGTTTGCAGTTAGGTAAAGATAGAGCGGCAGAAAAACAGACATCTAAGATACTTTAGTTTTAATGGGACACCCCCCCCATCTTCATTTTATATTTTTCTAGTCATTGTGTCTGGTGAAACATGCCCTGCTACTCTGGACTATTCTGGTACATCCTCAAAGAGATGGCAACTTCCAGGTATAAGCAGCAGTTATTTGCTGTAGGCGAGTAGCGGAAGAGCCAGCGTTTATTCGGAGGGAGTATGAGAGACTATATGGGTTTGGGATACCAAGTGTCACCTATCAGGATTGTGCAAAGGGACTGAAGAAGAGGGGCTTTGACTCCAAAGATGCGAGTGGAAATAACTTCCTATGACACTGCAAATGATAGCGATGCTGTGATTTACATTGCAACTCTCACCTTATGTAAAAACGAATATGAGGGAGGGAAAAGATCCTTTGTTGTGGGGCAGAGAACGAAAAAGAGAGCCTCTGCTTTTGTCAAGTCTTTTCCCACATCCCTGCATCTGTGTATTTATTGTCTCTGGGGGAGGTAATTTGAAAGTGAAGCAAAATAGCTACAAGTATGCTTTTATACATACATACATTTATATACACACATACACCCCTACATATATGCAAAAACACCAACTCATTCTTTTACTGCGTGTTTGGAGGAAGGAAACTGGGATTCTGGTGCTTCTGGAAGTGATAGAGAAGAACTTAACAAGCCCAATGAAGACAGGGGTATTAAGCAGGAAGAACTCTACTCAGTTTGATGTCTCCATTTTCCAGTTCAAAGTTCCAGTTCCCTTTTCTGCAAAAATAGTTTATTCTAGAAAGGTATAAATAGCTAGAACGTGGGATTTCATTTGTAATGACTCACTGCATGCTTTTTGACCATTTGTCAGTGGTACAATGTTTATTTGCTACTGTAGTTTGTCATCATTGATGTAAAAAAATTATTGATTGTTTACAGACAATAAGTGAGTTTTGGCCTTTGCAGGGGATGTATTCAGTGTTCGCCAATGATAGAGAAGGGTTGTTCTCTGTAGACTGAATTCTTCAGCTGTTAAAATGAGCTTGTGGTACTTCCTGAAAATGAAGTTTTTAATGAAGGCATTGCGGTACCATAATAAAAAACTAGAAGGAAAGAGGTAGTTTTTCTTTTTGCTCTCTCTCCCAAGGGTTGATATGAAATATTCTAAGAATTCTGTTTCTCTTAGATAAAAGTTTTGAAATGTGAATATCTGTAAGCCTTTAGAAAGTATATTGCTGTTAATGTTTTCAGTGCTTTCTCTCATGTTTTTCTGCATGGAAAATATAAAATGCATTAGGCTACTTATATGTGCTAATACTTTTGTGTGTTGTAATATCCTGTATGTTCCTTTTGAAAATTCGGTTTAAGTATATATTTATAGTGCTATAGATTTTAAAGTTTTTATAAATAGTTTGGAAGAGCATTAAACTGACTTAAAAATTTCAAGGAACAATTTTGTGCCCTGCTAGGGGAGCTTCTGTATTTATTCAAAAGTGTAGCCACTTGCATCCCTGAAACAATCAAGTGACATGTAAATATTGTGACTTGGTCCCTGATCTGTGAGCAATAGGAAATGAAAGGAATGAGAAGAGATTTTCATGTTGCTTATCAGGATTTTTACTGCTAGATTTTTCAGCTCTGAAGTTATTGATTGATTGCTTTATTATCCATTAAAACTTAGTGCATAGATGACACTGATGATCAAATACCATTTACTGTCATGAAAAATACCCTTGGAGGAAGTGTGGTCAAACAAGTACTTTTGCGATCACTGCTAACCAACGTGTCTTCTAGTCAGGGGGGTGAGAGGAATGCTCTGTGTGTGTTACTGGCGGGGGCTGCAGTTGTGGCATCTTTCAGGATTAATCTGGGCAGTTTTGCATTTCTAGTCCACAGTAGTGGAGCTGCTAAGGGAGCTTTTTGCAGGTAGCAAGGGGAGAACAGTTTGTAAAGAATGTTGTACCTTGGTTGGTATTCAAGTGCTTTAGTATATATAAAGCAAAGACATTTCTATCTCTCCCCACCTTTCCTAGTGTGTCCTTTGTTTTATTTCATTACAAAAAACAGGTGGTAAAAGAGTTATATGTGTATTTTTGATTGTTTGGTGATTTTTGTTGCCGTTGTTTGCACATTTTTGTATTAAATCCCAACACTTTATTTCTGTTTTTCACTATATTTTTATGGTTATTTCACTCTAAAGGAATAATTTTTTAGAATTGTAGCTCTTGGTAAAGTCACCAGATTCTTTACAAATTTTTCATTATTTTATGGTTCTGTATTGTGATCATCCAGACAGAACAATTGATCTACCATTGCATAACAATTAACACTACATTTACAGGCATGTTTTACAGCTACTAGTTCCAGGGTAGCTTTTAGTATGTTGCAGTAGATTAAATGCTTGATTGTTGGTCTTTATTTATACTTGTTCATTAAATAACAACTCTGACTAAAATAAGTAGTTGTTGGTAAAGATAGTCCAATTGGATGTGAGAAAAGAGTTGGCGTAAAATGGCTCTTCATAGTAAGTGAAATTACTGTTTTTATGATATGGATTTTGTGAAAAACCATAATGCATCTCTCACTTTTCAGAAGTTTGAGGATTGCTATGTCCAGCTGGCCCTGTAAGCTGTTTTACAGTTTGTAATACTTAGCTATTCATTATTCTGCTCTTGCTGTCTTCCCTTCCCCCATTTTTCCATGTACATTATCATGTTCGATTTCTCTGGCTGCAGAGGTTGGTTGCACTAGGAGTATATGCAGCATTTGTCAAAATTAATAAAAAACTACTTTCTTGTAGAAATTGCACTGTAATTTTTATATAGGTGAGAGATGACATTAATTTGTGTTGAACTCCATGTAGTATAGTAAAAACCAATGTTTTGAAATGGAAGGTATTTTTGATGCAGAAAGCACTTGTTTAAGTGTGGGAGCAACCGCTGGGAATGGCCAGGGTAATGTAAAATCAAAAAGTCAAGTTCATGGTTGGTGCAAGCAAGATCTCTGTAGTTGTCTCTGTTTATATCAAATTTGAGTTTGTCTCAAAGGACAGCCGCTAAACCTTGCATGATAGTTTTCAGTGAAACTGAAGATTACTTGATTAAATTCCCACAATTTCCATGGAAATCTGGAGCTCATGCTTGTGCTTCCTCTGGTAAAAGGGCAGGTGGGATTATTTTGTGGTGTGGTATTTGGCAATAGTTGGACAGTGGGTCGGCATGACTCCACTCGTTTGCTAGTTAGTTCCTCGTAACCATTGCTGTTGTCTGATCGGAGTATCATGGGGACATGAAGGGGAACTGGTTGTCGCAGTGGAGAAGTGCAGTTGTAGTGCACCTTAGATTCAGGATGACCTTTATTTTTCCTCTGTCCTAATTCAGAATTTTTTTTCCCCTCTTCTGAAGAGCTGTAAAATAAGTTTACATATCTGTGAACAAATGCAAATATTGCTGGGTTGCTCAAGCTAGAAGAATATGTATGTATCTATAGAAAGACAGGAAAATACATGTTTTTAACAAATGTCTTCAGTGAATCCTGCCTGTGTTTGGTATGTTTATACTCCTCTAAATCAGAGATTCTGCTCTGTTTTGAGCCGTGGTAAGTTCAGAACATAAACCTCCACAAGATAGTACCTAAGGAGCATTTGTTTATTTATTTAACACAACCATTTCACCCATTCATTTATCACTAAATGCTCCAAGCAATAACTTTACATAACTCAAACTTTTACCGCAGTGAACTACAACTCTGAATCCAGAATAAGAGACCCATAAGAAAATGTCAGTCATTCTTGACATATTTTCTCTGCTTGATGGTTACATGTACCATTTTTCAGTTGTTTCTGAGAGAGTAATAGTAACTGGAATGGATCTTTCATGTCTTTTATAAACTCACCATTGGTGCAATCAAAATATATCTTAAATTCTAGCTTTTTTATTTATTAAATGTAGAATGTACCCCAGAAGTATACCCCAAACAATCATGAGCTCAGTCAGTTACCTGGAAAGCAAAAGAAAGTCTTGTATTTACAGTTTCTTTTTCCTGCTCATGGACTTTCTTGTGTTCCCTGCCGCGGCGGTGCAGGCAGGGGGTGCAGGCAGGCAGTCCCCAGAGCTGCTGCTTGCATTGGCCCTTGTCCAGCCGGAGAACTGACAATACATTGACAAGCTCAGTATAAGCAAACTGGGATTCAAGGATTGTACATAATAAAAACGTTTAAGTGGTTGGCAAGCTCAGAATGTTGCTAACAAAAACAGTGGTTTGTTTTGGTGTTTAAATCTTGTGGTAATCCTCTTAACTGTTTTTTATTACTACAGCTTGAGTTTCTATGATGTCTTCGTTCTCTCTGAAGTTATGATTCAAACATGTTTGTTCTCTATTTCCCAGTCACCAAGAAATTTTTGGCTTTGACAGTCTGAAGTGACTTCATAAACATTTTATAGAGAAGAAACATAGTCACTATATATACCATTTTTCAAATAAATTAGAGTATACCATCTCACCTCTTCTCTCAACAGGGAATGCATTCATCTTCATATATGGATTAAATAACATTCTTTAAATAGTCACTTGAAAAAATACAGTGAACTGTGGTAGTACTGTAACTTCACAATTTTGATTTCTTACACATTTTGCAAAAGATACTTTTCAAAGTGGCATGTCCCTACATGTATAGGTATCAAGCAGCATATTCCTATACACACACGTACTTCTGCCAAAATCACCCTTTTTAGAATAGTTTTGAAGTAACAAGCAGCTGCTATATGCCTGATAGTAGGCATCTGTAGATTTGCAACAACCTTTAGTGAAAAATAGGCTCTGGAGCTTTCTCCAGATGACTACACACTTTTCAAAAGTACTGTCACTTTCAGACTAATTTTTTTAAGTTTTTGTGAGGATAAGAACGTGCTAAGTGCAGGAATGGCATACCTGCTGAGATGTAATATTTATTATCTTGATTAAATTGACAGGCGCGTAAGCAAAATGGCAGGGAACAGCCTCGTTCTGCCCATCGTCCTGTGGGGTCGTAAAGCCCCCACGCACTGCATATCCACCCTGCTGCTCATGGAGGATGCGTCGATGATCGTCACAGGCTGCCATGATGGACAAATATGTCTCTGGGACCTTTCTTTAGATTTAGAGGTAAGACTAAAGTCTGTGTAATCTTAGCTTTTTGTGTGTTTAAAGTGTGTATCATTGTTGCCCATATGATTTTATTCTTTGATATTGTAGTATCTATTTTGGTCTTCAGTTCTCTCTATGCCCTGTTTACTTGTCCTTTCTTTCTCCCTCTCATGAGGCCTGGATTGACACAAGATGCTTCCCTTTATGAATATTTCAGATTAGAAAGAGATGTTTTTGCTCTTGAACTTTGTTGCTGCTCCTGCAGTAATTTTTTTAAGTAATTACTTCCTCTTTTCTGGAACTGCTCTAAACTAGTTGTTACTTTCAGGCTTAGCTGCTTAATTGTTTTGTGAAAACAGATTCCAGTGATCAGAAGACTGTACTTAGAGAACTTTTTAAGGTGGTTATTTTATTCAACTATTTTTTTTTCGCATGGTAACTGAAAGAGGAAAAAGGCTTGTAGCAGAGATAAAGGTTGATAATTAATTGTTTTATGCCAGTGGCTGCCCTAGAGTTGAAATCTGCAAGTGTCTGTTTTGAATATGATCTCGTAGTTTGCCTTGGTACAAATTGTTTTAAACTCTTGGAATGGAATAGTAAAACAATCCTTTCCTGTAAAAAAAAAAAAAAAAAAAAAAGGCAGCATGCTTCAGGAAAAGTTTATAATGAATACATAAAAATCTCAGTGTCTGAGAGTTACCCCCATAAATTATGTTTATGTCTGGTATACGTAAAAAGAAAGAATGGGGTAAAGCAACTAGTTCTTTCTAGAAGGGACAAATAAAGGGCAGTTTTATTTTTTATTTTTAATCTATGCATGGGCTTTATATAAACTTATTTATGAATATATAGAGTTGTGAACTATACTTGATTGGGGGGGAACTATGGTTGCAGTGCAACACAATTTTTTCATTCAAATTGGGCCAAGTACAGCTTATGGTTTAAAAATATTGATAGCATGAGTTTGCAAAATGCTTTTTTTTTTTTTTTTTTTTCACAAATTTGCGTGACAGTATTAGGTAGAAACTTTTTTTTTCATGTATTATAACAGCATTCTGTGCAAACTCAAGGTTATATATCCACTGCTATGCTAATTAAATGTGTGTGTGTATTAACAGATAAATATTTACATAATACATAAAATGGAAATCTGGAATATGTATATTCTGGTTAAGTAATAGTGACTATGTTATTTTTACTTCACGTTTTATTTCCCTGATTCTAGATTAATCCCAGAGCTCTGCTGTTTGGTCATACAGCCTCAATTACTTGTTTGTCAAAGGCCTCTGCTTCCAATGAAAAGCAGTATATAGTGAGTGCATCAGAAAGCGGGTGAGTTTCCTGAGGGTTTATTAATATGCAGATCTGTTAAATAATGGAAATTGAGGGTAGAGGAGAGATCAGGTTGTTTACATACAGGATAGTTTTTACTTAGTATGATGTCTATAGATATTCCAAATAGTGGGACTTCTCCACTGTAGATATTGAGTGTGGTGTGAATTTTGGATTTGTGGCCTGAAAGGAGTGTAGGGAAGTGCCCGAAGTCCTGGAGGGCTTCCTCTGTTATTTGTTGTACCGTGGGAGCCAGCGGCAGGACGCCACGCAGCTGTATGTAAAGCAATATGTGGAGCACTAAATGTGATTTATGTTTGGATGGGCAGTGAGATGTGTGGTGTCATTTCCTCCAGTCAAGGAAACTGTGATTTCTGTCATCTTTTTGCTTGCTCGAGTTTGTCAGTTCAGTTGACAGTAGATGCATATTTTGTTCCTTTTTCTCTGCTTATCCAAGATCTGTTTCTTGAGTGAAAGCAAGCTTGAGTTGTGTAGCTTGTTGGCAGGAAATGATGCCTAATACGTGTTTTAAAATGTGGAAACCTGTCACACAATTTATCTATATTTCTGTTGCAGTGTTGGATTTTTATCCTTAAGAAAAAATACATGAGCAAACACATTTTATTTTTTAAGAGGTTTTATTTACTTATCAGAGTAACTGTTTAGAGGGCAGAAGGGGGAAGGATTTTTCATGCAGTTGGCATTAATGGGGATTATAATAGAGTAATTTAAAAAAAAAAAAGTCATACTTTAACTTTTCAATAAAATATTGTTGTGGTTTAACCCCAGCCAGCAGCTAAGCACCATGCAGCCACTCTATCACTTCCCACCCTCAGCTAGACAGGGTAGAGAAAATATAACAAAAGGCTTGTGGGTTGAGATGAGGACAGAGAGAAATCACTCAACCAGTTACCATCACAAGCAAAACAGACTTGACTTGGGAAAAATTAACTTAATTTATTGCCAATCAAACCAGAGTAGGGTAATGAGAAATAAAACCAAATCTTAAAAAACCTTCCCCACACGCCTCCCTTCTTCCCGAGCACAGATTCACTCCTGAATTCTCTCTCTACCTCCCCCGGCAGTGCAGAGGGACGAGGAATGGGAGTTACGGTCAGTTCATCACACATTGTCTCTGCCGCTTCATCCTCTTCAGGGGCAGGACTCATCACACTCTTCCCCTGCTCCAGCGTGGGGTCCCTCCCACGGGAGACAGTCCTCCACAAATTTCTCCAACGTGGGTCCTTCCCACGGGCTGCATTTCTTCATGAACTGCTCCAGTGTGGGTCCTTTCCACAGGGTGCATTCAGTCCTTCAGGCACAGACTGCTCCAGTGTGGGTCCCCTGTGGGGTCACAAGTCCTGCCAGAAAACCTGCTCCACAGCATGGGCTTCTCTGCACAGGGCCACAGGTCCTGCCAGGAGCCTGCTCCAGCGTGGGCTTCCCACGGGGTCACAGCCTCCTTCGGGCACCCACCTGCTCCGGCGTGGGGTCCTCCATGGGTTGCAGGTGGAGATCTGCTCCACTGTGGCCCTCCACGAGCTGCAGGGGGACAGCCTGCCTCACCATGGTCTTCCCCACGGGCTGCAGGGGAATCTCTGCTCCAGTGCCTGGAACACCTCCTCCTCCTCCTTCATCACTGACCTGGGGGTCTGCAGGGTTGTTTCTCTTACATGTTCTCACTCCTTTCTCCAGCTGCACTTTCTGTGCTGCAGCAACTTTTTTTTTTTTTTTTTTTTTTTTTTCCCATTCTTAAATCTGTTATCCCGAGGCGCTACCACTGTCACTGATGGGCTCGGCCTTGGCCAGCGGTGGGTCCGTCTTGGAGCCGGCTGGCATTGGCTCTGTTGGACATAGGGGAAGTTTCTAGCAGCTTCTCACAGAAGCCACCCCTGTAGTCCCTCCACTACCAAAACCTTGCCACGCAAACCCAATACAAATATGCTTTGTACACTCAGATTTTAGTGTAGATTTTGGGCTAATTTATTGAAAAGATACACAATTTGATAAATTACAGGTCAAAGCTTTGAGACCAACTAGTTTTGTCATTCGTAACTCACACGTGTTATTTAGCTTTTCCCCCGTGCCCCTGGGTGTTAGTGGCCATTGGGAGCTGGGGTCCGGGTCACTGCGGCCAGGCTGGCAGCGCGGCGCAGGCAGGACGGGGAAGAGGACCCAGCTTAAACAGCCTCGCAGAGAGAGGGAGGCCCTGCCAAGACAGCTTCCAGCGCTTTCTTGAGCTCTTCAAGACCAGACAGCAACTTAGCAGAGTTGGCCGTGAGCCCAGGCCAGCCCCCCTGAATGGGGAGGATGCATTCCCCTTATCCTTGTATCTACACGCGTACTCTGGCTGGCTATATGAAAGTGAATCCTCATTATCAGCAAGCCATTTCTAGGAAATGGGCCATGGACTTATTCTTGTGTTAGAGTCATTCTGGAAGGCAGGAGCTTTTTTTTCCCCAAAATATGAGCCTAGTTTTGGTTCACGGAGTTGGAGTAACTACTGTTGTTATCAACAGTTTAGAATAGCTTCTGAGTTTCCAAGTAGAGGTATAAGCATTTCAGTTACAAATGAATCATCTTCCTCAATGGACTTACATTGAACAAGATGGGCTGCCCTTCACTTCTGTCCTGTGGCAGGCCATCTCATAATTGCTGATTTTTAGCATCTCTTTCTTGAGTCTTAACAGCACAGGGAACATGCTACCTATTGAGGGGAGGTATAGGTTTAAATGGATTAGGTCCTTTTGCAGACTATTATTCTGGAATAAAAGTAACTATTTTTGAAAGAAGTTGCAACTAGACATCATAATATTCCTTCTTAAACTAATGGAGACTTTGAACACTCTTAGATTTAATGTGGTATGCACATGTAATTTGTTTTTAAAGTATGCCTTTCCACTTTACCTTTTCAAAGTTTGCTTTGAAAAGTTAACATTTCCGACTCAGCTGTCTTTCACTAGTGTCCTGGTTTCAGCTGGGATGGAGTTAATTGTCTTCCTAGTAGCTGGTACAGCACTCTGTTTTGGGTTCAGTATGAGAAGAATGTTGATAACACACTGATGTTTTCAGTTGTTGCCAAATAGTGTTTAGACTAAGTCAAGGATTTTTCAGCTTCTCCTCCCCAGCCAGCAAGGAGGCTGGAGGGGCACAACAAGTTGGGAGGGGACACAGCCAGGGCAGTGACCCAAACTGGCCAAAGGGATATTCCATACCATATGGCATCATGCCCAGTATCTAAACTGGGGGGAGTGGGGCTGGGGGGATCGCTGTTCGGGAACTAACTGGGCATCAGTCAGTGGGTGGTGAGCAACTGCATTGTGCATCACTTGTATATTCCAATCCTTTTATTATTATTATTATTAATGTCATTTTATTATTGTTACTATTATCATTATTAGTTTCTTCCTTTCTGTTTTATTAAACTGTTCTTGTCTCAACCCGTGAGTTTTACTTTTTTTTTCCTGATTCTCTCCCCCATCCTGCTGGGTGGGGGGCAAGTCAGTGAGCAGCTGTGTGGTGGTTAGTTGGGATTAAACCATGACAACTAGGCAGAATATTTGACCTGGAAGTATTTGCAAAGGTATTCCTTCCAAGAGCATCAGTCTGTTCTTGAGGGCTGCTTCATTCATATACAGAACTTACTATTAGAATGACAGACTTTCATAAGCTTGTTTTGCATACCAGAAAAGGAGAAAGAAGTTTGAGTCTGGATTTTTTTGTTTGTTTATCTGCTTTGTTTTTAAAAGGCTGTTTATGGAAAGGTGGACCTCCAGGCTGAGGCCGATTTGCTCAGCTCTGGTTGAGGAAGAAATTTCTTAACCTCTGCCTGTGTAAATGTAGCTGGCCAGGTATAGGTCTGTCATGTATCCAAATAAAATAAAGAAGTTTTTTATCTGGAAAAAGCAGGGAACAATATGACTGAAGAACCTTCTAACCTGTAAGTTGAGAGTTGAATGTGTCAAAACTTAGAATTTCCATCTTGTAGTGATTGCAGTACTATGTAATCTTTTCCATTGGATTTAGAACCAAAATATGTTTTCATTATGAAATTATATATCTGATGTAAAGGGAAAAAAGTTGAGAAAGCAGCTGACAGATTCTGTTCTGATTAAATTTTAATATAAAATTTTAAAAGTGTTGTTTTTTAAAAAATACTGTAAATAGGGAGAATGGCTGCTAATTGGAATGAATTAATATAGGTAACTAATCTTTCCTCATAAGGCAAGTCAGAAAAGTATCTACTAGTACTGCTTATAATTTGTTGTTCAGTGCTTTCAGTTTGGTCTTAAAAGTGCTGAAGAGTACCAGGTGGTGCTTCCACCTCTCAACAGCCTGGGCCTTCAGAAAAACCCACAGCGTTCACTGCCACCTGACACAGTTCTGTTTTCTGTAATGCTATTCTCTTCCTTACAAATGGGGAGGAGGCAGGCTAATCTTTGGATGACTTAGGGATGCAGTAGAAGTATGTAATGACTTGAAACATTTGTGAGAGAAGTGAGAAATTCTCTGTTGTATCCTTGTGTTCACTTAACATTGATTGTTTATGATGAACCTTGGCATTTCACTTGTTTCCCTTATCTTTGTAGGGAAGAAGAGGTTGTCTAGATTCACATAGAAGGACTGGAAATTCAAGTTGCTTTTGAGTTTCCTTTATCTAAATACAATTCATATTGTCACTAACAAATGGTTCAAATGGTTAAGTTTCTTCTGATGTAAATGATCTTTAGACTCTTGGACAATTGAAATATTTTCCATGTAGTTTTAATCTGCCTTTTATATTTCAGGGAGATGTGTCTGTGGGATGTGAATGATGGGAGATGCATAGAGTTTACTAAACTAGCCTGCACACATACTGGCATACAGGTTAGTACTTTGTGTATGTTTCTGAAGTCCTATTCTATATTGTAATGCATGGATAACTATAGATCAGTTATCAAAGCAAGGCTCTTTTGTTTGGTTTTAAGCTTAATAATGGCATTATATGCATATGTCAGTATCTCCTACGTAGTTTATGCTGTATCATCAAATGCCCTAGGGCATTTTTTCAGCATTTGAAAAAATGTATCATAGTTAATAAGAGAGGCCGGAAAGAAAATTTTTGGAGGAGTACTGCCAGGGGAGGTGGGAGCATGAGAATGATCTTAGCAGGGAAGGCTGAGGCAGGCTTCTGTCAGCCACAGGAGAGCTGGGTGTACAGGGTAAGGATTGCCTTGGGAAGAGAACAGGAGCAAGGGGGCCTCTGCAAAAAGCTCCCCTCATTAGTGCAGAATAGTAATTTCTAAACATATAGGCATTAGAATATTTTTACAAAGTTATGGTTTTGATTAAAAATGAAGTAGCCAATGTGTCACGAGGAGGATAATTTCTGTACTTTGTTAATATCCGTTTAGTTCTATCAGTTTACAGTTGGGACTCAGCGTGAAGGAAGATTATTATGCCATGGACATTATCCAGAAATTCTTGTTGTGGATGCTGCTAGCCTTGAAGTTCTTTATTCTTTATTATCAAAGATATCTCCTGACTGGATCAGCTCAATGACTATCATTCGATCCAATAGAACACAAGGTAATTATTTTTCTTGCTTTTGTTATGGCTTTGCTTCCCTGTGAGAGAAACACTGTTTTCAACTTTTTCAAGGACCTGGGGAGGAATTAGAACATTACTCCCTGTGATCTTGGGCAACACCCAGCAAGCACTAACCTTTCCAAAAAGCAAGTATATATGGCTGTTTCTAGTCCCTGAAAAAGAGGCTAGTTAGTATCTATGCAGTATTATCTCTGTTGCTGTTCCATCAAATGAGAGTTTTGGCTCTGGCTAAAATGTAACTGCTTTCTGATGAACAGAACCTAAAATCTAGCCAAGTCGCTCTGTGTGTGCGTGCTCCTCAGGATCCAGGCTCACCTACTAGATAGATTCAGTTCTGTCATCTTCAGTGTGTGCATCTGCTGAAACCTGAAGGACAAGGAACCTTCTTACGGGAAGAGTGCTTTTTTTTTTTTTTTTTTCCTAATTAAAGCATATTCCATTAGGGTGATAACTTGTTTTCTCTTTGAGAATTGAGAAAGAGTTCTGGAGAGCACTCTGACAGCAAAAGCCTGGAAACTGGCATGAGACTGAAGGAAGGGGTGCAAGCACTCTAAATGCTAAGGCTGTCATCTGCATTACTAATGTGATGTACAGTATATATCGAGATCATTTGGCAAGCCAAACTTTGTAATTTTTCACAAGATATATACGTACTATGAGTATTTCTTGTGATTAGTAGCTTATAAAAAGTGCTGTCATAACATTTTCAAAGCTATTATTGTAGGAAATGTGTTTAAGGAATATGCTGATTAAAGTACACAATAGGATTAAAAAACCTAAAGACTGTAGAGGGAGGAACTTCTAAAAGTGATGACAGTCAGTTTAGTGGAGAGGTATGTGAGCAGGCTCATGTTTGGTGGTGGATTAGTTGACATGGCTTGAAGTGATACCTGTCCACACATCTGTTTTGCTCTGCTAGTTTGTGTTAATTTGTTAGGCTTTAAATTCTGGCAGCTGAGGTGGAGAGGTGTCTCACTCAGGTTTTCCTGTTGTGGAGACTGTAATTCCTAAGAGGTTTGGGGAACATTAAGGAAGATGATCCTGACAAAAAGGAGAGACTTTTATCTTGAGTTAAGGCTGACAGAGTTGTAAACTGAGTGTTCCTGAAGTCCTGGAAGGGAAAGCTCGATTGCTATCCCCACACCATTTAAGTTGCTGGAACAACTGGAAGTGAATTGGTATTAAGTGTTTCCTGATACTGTCTTTAATTTTATTTCTTGTTTTGTAATTGCTTTTATACTGTAATCAAGAAGTTACCCCTTGGATTTTGGTCTTCCACCGGATTTGTCTGGTAGAAACAGGAATGTCTAGAAAGTTTGACTAGCACTTGATATACTTTGTTTTTTCTGAAGGTAGTAACTCTAATGGAGTAATTTTGCAGAGATGCCCTTTGGGAACCCGCAGCCAAGAGATGCTTGGGCAGCTGTACAACTAGAGCATGCTTCCCATTAAACTTCAGTGTCCTCGCAGGCTGGTGTGGGCAGACAGCTAGGCATAAGCAACAAATCTCTCCTCTTGGGAGAGTAACCCCTTGCCTTTGGGGACAGTGATGGGACAACCCACAATGTCTGATAGCAATACTAGAAACAACTGTGACTTCCCTTCCCCCATTTAATTTGAGCCCTGAGTATTATTTGAGATGTAAACACAAACCCACAGAATCTGTGCATGTGCATATGTGCTTCTGGAATACCACTTTGCAAATAAACATTTGATTTTGAAGCAAACACTTCAGGAATGTTTTGGTAAACTTTTAATGTTGAGGTACTCTCAGTATATTTTTGTACTCAGATAAGCACAAGTGTGCAACAAAATGAAGATGTCCTTGTACTTATCAGCCTAATGTTTGTTTTTCCCCAGAGGATACTGTTGTAGCAGTTTCAGTGACTGGCATCCTGAAAGTATGGATAATAACCTCTGAAGTTAGTCGGATGCAGGTAAACAAAGGCTTTTGAATTAATGATATTTCCTGTTGTGATGGAGGGAGAACTTCTGTTAATGTTGTTTCCTGTTCTTCCAGCTACCTAATGATATTATGCTTTTTTTCCTCTTTGCCATTTGAAAATCAACTTCCTTAATTTTGCTTTACTGATTCTTCAAGTTACCAGCAGAACTCCAAACATGAGAAAGATTAGACTCAGAGAACTTATTTCAAAATCAGGAGTAGGATAATCTCCAATTTCTACAAATCTTTTTTTTGGTACTATTTAATGATTTGTGTTAATGTACAAATATTCTTGTTAATACACAAATGTTTTCCTTTTAATTTTTCCCCTTTAAAAGTCCTATTCTTTCCGTAAGTCATCTCATACTACATTCCACAGGAGATTTGAGTTCCAAAGGGAATTTAGTAACAAAGATTGTTACGGTAATGTTTAACTTTCCAAACTGATAGGGGTGCTGTACTGCATGCATGTACACGCAAAAATGCAAGAGCTTGCTGTATAACTACTCATTAGTTGAAAGAGATGATGCTAATAAATACATGTTTACTCTGTATAGTACAGATAGAAGAAATAAGTCAGAGTTAAAGCTTGCCCTGTACTGCATAGGAAGTGTGGGTCTTAATATGGTGGGGGCATTATAGAAGTGACTTTATCACCGTGCTTCATTTTTTTTAAGATTAAGTTCTCTAGCTGCATTTCTTATGCTCTTAAAATATCTGTACTTAAATTTTAAAAAAATTTCATCATAGTTAAATTTAGTATTAGATTTTATTATTAAATGTAGTATTTTCTTTGAGAAAGGTACGGAGAGGTGTGGAGATGCCTGAAGGGTTTGCTGAGCAGAGTACAGTTTTTAGGAATATTCATTATTAGGGGTTATCTAGAGTTCTCTTTGTTACTTGGCAGTTCCTGCCTTCCTGTGTCCTAATGAATAAAAGTCTTAAAGGAGATTTGCTACATGTCTCATAGACCTCTGGCTAATTAGCTATTCAGAGAAACCTCTTGTAAAAGATGTACTTTACTATAGCTGTTTAGCACCTATGGAAAAATAACCTTATGATATATAAATGAACTATTTTTTTGTTGAACTTGTTTATTTCCAGAATATTTATAATGCAAAAGCAATGCAGTTTGCATTAGCTTGTAACACCAATATAATGGAGTTCTTTGCTTTTGACCTTGTCAGGGGACAGAGGTGGTATTCATGGTTTTTTGCTTCATAGTTTCAAACTTGATGAAATTATGTTGCTCTCAAAGCATTTTCTGGAAACCCTTGTTATGCAGCTAGTAATGTTTTAGCTAACATCAGGTTTAACAGCAACAAAAAAAAAAAGGCAGCTGTAAGCAGTGAAGAGTATTGGCTGTTACTAAAGTAAGAAACGCGAAGATGTAGCTAAACAGGAGCTTATCACCATCTAGTGTATTTGGGATATGGGGAACCTTGAAAGAATGAAACGTGAGCTGAATCTGCTTTGTTTCAGCTATCTGGGTGCAAGGTAATTCACTGACAGTGATGATACTAAATAGGCACCACTAATCTGTCCAGCTGGGGAATTTGTTGGACTTAAGTGATGAAAGAGGATACCACATGCTCTTGCAGATCTCCTTATGAGGAATAATAGAATAAGAACTGTTACAAGCATTTGGTTTTTCCTTCGAAGTTGGCCATCTGGCATTTATGAGATGGCGTAGTCCCTTTTCCATTGCATATTCTCTGTCATGTTCCTAAGTTCAATTTGAGCAAGAAAAAAAAATCAGCTGGGTATTTTCTTGTTATCCGATTTCCATCTGTGTGTTGTTCTGTATAGAGACTCTCGGTTTCAGACGCTGATTGCTGTCACGTTGTCTGAGCGCTTAAATGGCTTCTGTGTAGGACATAACGCTTATTCCCCATCTTGAAGTTGAGGAAATATTTCAGAAAAATACTGTCTTGCCATAGAGATCTGTAACAGAGTAAGGAGTTGTGATCTAGGACATCTGAGTCCCTGCTTCTGCCTTAATTGCCTGGCTATCCTGATTTTCTCTGCCCTGTCTCAGTAAATAAGGTTGCTTTTTATGAAAGTGAAGAGCCCTTTGAAATCAGTTAAAGTGACTGGCATTGCAGACAGGTCTTTCTGTAGGTCTCCTGTTTATACCATAGCAGGGTATCTGCATTCTGTTGTTTCAGCCAGGTTTTTATAACTGTAAACCAGACTTTTCAGGTGATGAATGGCATGACTGTCCCTCCTTCCTTTAAGGTATCTCAAGTCAGAGTGAAGATGGACACTCAGTCAAAGTGAGTATTAGTTTGGGATCTAGTTCCTGTGTGTTCTGGATCTGGACAGGTTAGCAGTGGCCATCTTTAATACAACCAGAAGAGAAAGTTTTGCTTTAAGGTGGGCCCAGATTAATCAAGGTGCAGCACCAATGGGGTAGATCAGTCTGATACTTGGACTCAGTAGAGGTTGTTGGGCTAAATGATTAAGATCCTGTGCTATTTGATAGTGCTAGGTTGAATCTCAAAAGAATGTTGTCAGCAGTGGCTGAATCTTAACCTCTGGCCAAGGGTCAGTCTACAGCTGAAAACTTTGAGACGTGAGGAAGGGAATGGGCTCGTGTATTCAGCAGTTCAGCTCACCGGCTCTGCTGGTGTGCTGGTCAGTCCTTGTGCCTGATTATAGCTATACACATATGCTCTCTAAATAAAAGTGATAACCTCCTGTTGGTGTCATTTTTGTCTGTCTCTACAAGCCAGTTTTTTACCTATCACTTCTTCAGTTCTGCTTTTCTGCACATTTGCTACTCTTGTACTTGTGACAGAGTCTGCAGACTTGACTCTTTTATCACAGGAGAGTTGGTATTCAAGGTATGATATACCCATAGAGTATCAAAAGAAAACATAAGCATTTATTTCAGTTAAAATTTACAGAAACATTGGGAAGCTCTTGAGTAAATTTAAAACCATCAAGAAGTGCCTTTTTTGAAGATGTTGTTCTATAATAAGGTAATATGGCTCTATTTAATTTCAGATTTATAATTTTAAATAAAATGCAGTTAATTTAATGTTGGTTTTGTTTGTTTGTTTTTAGGATACAACACCAGTATTTGAAGAGGAATCAAAACCTATTTATTGTCAAAACTGTCAAAGCATTTCTTTCTGTGCGTTTACCCAGCGGTCGTTGTTGGTAGTGTGTTCCAAATACTGGAGGGTAAGGCAAGCTAGCTGAACAACACCTGGCTGCTTTTCACTGTAGAAGCTGATTTAATTAAATTGCCAGTAAGACATTTAGATCAAGATGCTCTAAGTCCTTTTAATGTGTCTATATTGAAATCGAAATTAGCTGCTCTCTGGGCATTTTAATCTGTAATTGGTTAATGACAACAGGCTTTGCTGTTTCTTTTCAGGTTTTTGATGCTGGAGATTATTCCCTCTTATGTTCAGTCCCTAGTGAAAACGATCAGACCTGGACTGGCGGCGACTTTGTGTCAGCTGATAAAGTGATTGTATGGACGGAAGATGGACAGAGTTTCATATATAAATTACCAGCCAGGTATTCAACAATGAAATACTCCATTTATTTATTATTTTGAGATAGAAACATGAGCAACTTTGAAGAAATATTGAGTATCTTTGGCTTTTATTTTGTTACAAAATCATATGGATGTTGCAGAAACTAGTATTCCATGAGCATATTTTAAAGTGTGTGTCCCCTAAATGTACCATGTTGAAGCAATGCTCAGTAATTTAGATTGCCTCAACCAAGATTGCTTCACTATTTTCTGATACTACACTCTTTCTCACTTCCTAATGGAGCTGTGTGATGGGAAGAGGTGCATTTTGGTGTTGAACAAGTGTCATAAAATAAAATTTAACTTAAATATTTCCTTAACCAGGTCTAAATAAGGAAGAAATAAGATTTTTCTGTATGGAGTAGAATGTAAATGACGATTGTATTACTGTAACAGAATACTCTTCCAGCCCATGAAGGGAAGGCACAAACAGCTGAGTTTGTGCACATGAATGTGAAAATACAAAATTAATTTAAAATTAGGTATCAAAGAGGTTAAATAAATGTAGAATGACAAAAGTAAAATAAAAAACTTTTCTTCTGACATCTTCATGACATGCAAACATCTTGTTCTGGGTAGAGATACAGTTTTATCTTGGAGATCCTTGAATATTCTCACATAAATCAGGTGAGAACTCCTTTCTCACACTCTTAAGTGATCAGAGCATAAGGATGCAAGCAGATCTATCTGGTGATCTGTCAGAGGAATCGCTGGGTTTGGTGTGTTTTGGTCCTGAGTCTGAGGCCAGGTGTGTTGAAGTCCAAAGCAGACCTAAAGCCAGGCTTCCTTCATTCTTTTTTCCTTCAGTTCTGAATGTGTGGGGGAACTGAGCTGGACACATTTGGTGCAGTTATTAATTGATGAAGCATACCCTGTACATTAAAATCAGAGTAATGATCTGCTATACACTGTGTTAACAATTGAAAAAAATGTAATGTTTAAGGGCTCGGGGGTTGCTTTTGCTTAGTATTATTTAGTTAGGTAGTGATGTAGTGATCACTCTCTAGTAATACAAGGGATTTTATTCCTTTCTCTTTGTTCTTAAACCCAGCTGTCTACCAGCTAGTGATTCATTTCGCAGAGATGTGGGGAAAGCAGTAGAAAATCTAATTCCGCCTTTATTGTACAGTGTGTTGGACAGAGCAGATAAACAGGTAAAATATATTTCTTTGGAGTTTCTTTTATGGACTGCATTTCTCTCTTAGAGAGTTGAAACATGCATACATCATGACAAGTTCTTCTCTTTCAAAGTAGACCTTTAGGATTTCTTCTTTTCTTAGAGAAAGTAGACAGATACAATTTCCCTGCTGTTTGGTTTGGTTCTTGTTGGTTTTCAAATAAATGCAGAGGTTAGTCTCTGGTCAAGTGAATCTTCAGTTCCTGTATACTGACACGTTATCATTTATCAATGCCTGGAGAATTAGAAGTTGAGTTGTGATGTGCATGATGATTAGGCAATAATTGAGCAAGAGCTTTTAGAATCACAACTTGGAATTTGAAAGCTTAATCCTTGCAAAGTAAAGAAAATCAAATTTCATAGGCCTAAGTCCTCTTTGAGCTATACTTCATTTTTATACTGTATTGTGAACTGCTATAATACTGCTATTGTATTTATCTGCTATAAACTAATATATCTAAGACTGCTGTATGATATATCTAGTATTTGCACCTATACTATTAGGTATAAGTAGCTGTCTGATTTACAAATGCTGTTATTACAAGACTGTTGTAGGAATCCTTTTTTTTATCTTAACCTTTTAACCTGTTGCCAAATTTGGACGTTGAAACATTTATATATTTGATTTTTTTGTTGTTGTCAATCAATACTAAAACTTTTTTACTTTTGTTGTGGACCATGTTCCTTACTGAGTGGTATAACTTCAGCTCACCACTGCAGTTAGAATGTTAACAATTTTAGAATACACACACACACGTGTATATATAAAATATTCTAAATATGAATATATTTAGAACAAAACCAAATATGTACAAAAATCTTTTTTCCCCTTCCCTAAACTTGTGACTTGTTTCTTCTGATTCATATTGCTGTATTTATTCTTCCTCCTGTAAGAAAGATAAAGCATAAAGTATCTATTTTTTTGTCCTGCTTTTAGAAGGTACAGAGGATTATGTGGGGAAAGTAAATTTTGAGATCAATACATGGTTTGCATGTGTTCTGAAGTTGTTAATTTTTTTTTTTTTTTTTTAAACAGCTACTAATATGTCCTCCAGTTACTCGATTCTTCTGTGGACATAGGGAGTTCTCCTATAAGCTGTTAATCCAAGGAGACTCTTCAGGGAGACTGTGTATTTGGAGTGTGCCTGATACTCTTGAACAACAAGATAGTGCAAAAGGTATATCTAATTAACAGTTTTGTTGCCAAGTCTTTTAATGGGCATCTCTCTTTTTTCTTTTTCTTTTTTTTTTTTTTTTAAAATATGTATTTTGTTGCTGGATAAAGCACTGCTGCTTTTCCTACAGATCCATGAAGCTGGTTTTTTTAAGAGTTAAAGTAACTTTATTTTTTTTCATATATGATCAAAATCTTCATTGACTCTGAATATTTTTCAGTTATTACAAATTAACTGCTTTATTCCAAATACTAGCTATGGTCATTGCTGCCTGCCAGTGTAGCTTAAATCATATCCTTTTCCAGTTCTCTCATATATCGTTTCCGTGTGTTGCTGTAGCTTCACTCAGGTAGTCAGTAAATTAATCTCCAGTATGTACCATTTACTTTGAACAAAGTGTTGTAACATGGTGTATTTAAACTTTGATATCTTTTCAGAAAAGCTTTTCTAATTTCCATTCTTGATTTTATTTTATTTTTTAAATCCTCCTCCCACCTCACCCCTTGCTTTTTTTTTTTTCCCTTTTTTTTTTTTTTTTTTTTTTTTTCTTTTCTTTTTAAACAGGACTGCAAACGACAACTTCAGTATCCCTCCAGGAAGCTTTTGATAAACTTACTCCTCGCCCTGCTGGGATTATAGACCAACTAAGCTTAATACCAAACATCAATGAACCACTTAAAGTTACAGCCAGTGTGTATATTCCAGCACATGGGCGTTTGGTTTGTGGTCGTGAAGATGGAAGCATTGTTATTGTGCCAGCAACACAAACTGCTATAGTTCAGCTGCTGCAAGGAGAGCATATGCTTAGGAGAGGTATGCAAATAAGCTTTTGAAAAGCACAGTTGGATTACAGTGTGTGCCCGTCACGAAATATACTGAAGTAAGAAATAATTTCACAAAGTGAGCTTTAAGTCATTTTACAGGTAGAAATCATATTGCTGTTTTCTTAACAATTTTTGGTGTTCTATTACTTAATGAGAAACCCAAGTAATAAAATAACTGTGGCCAGCTTGCATCAATTTTGGGCAAGGTCCCTTCACTGGAAAGCTTTGGATATTTCTCCTGGGTTTTTGAGATGCAGTAGCAAAGATATGGCAAGGGACACCTCCCGTCTCTCTCAGAATTGTTCTGGGCACTGCGTTCAGCTGGGCTATCGGTGTGCCTATGGAGCTGTCGCTGGGAAAATAACACATCTAACAGAGAACTCCTCTTTGCGTATTGTGTAGTTAGTTGAGTGTTATACCTTGGCCTGCTGTTGTATATTTTGGTTCCAGATAATGTTATTTTAATACTTTTGGGGTTTGATTTTACAAATGCTAATAAATGAGAAAGACATGTAGATATTTCTCTGTGAATACAAGTATGAGCTTGTCAGTTATATACAAGGCTGTTGGTTGTACTGTTTCCTTTATGTAACTGATTTACTGTATATAACTTTATACAATTTTTTTTTTTCTTAATATGAAGCTGGATTGCCTCAGAGTTGAGTTGATACATCATTCTGCAAATAAGCGTTGGTGGTTCTTACCCTTATAAAAAGCTGAATTACTTCAAAGTGAGGCTGTACAGCAAAACAAAATGAATCATTCAGTCTATGTCCAGTAGAAAAAATTATGAACATTTTAAAAAAAGAAAGCTAATTTTATAAGAATTTCTGTCAAAAATTGCAGCATGTCTGGGGTTTTTTGGGTTTTTTGTTTTTTTTTTAATCAAGAACAGTGGTTTGGATTGTTAATTGTTCTACTGAATTACTTTTTTTTTTTCTCTCTCTCTCTCTCTCTTTAAATTTTCTTTTCCTCTTTTCACCCCTTACCCAATTTCTCAGGTTGGCCACCTCACCGGACTCTCCGAGGCCATCGAAACAAAATTACATGTTTATTGTATCCTCATCAGGTTTCTTCTCGTTATGATCAAAGGTATTTGATCTCAGGTGGTGTGGATTTCTCAGTCATCATATGGGATATATTTTCTGGAGAGATGAAACATATCTTCTGTGTACATGGTGGAGAAATTACACAGCTTCTAGTTCCACCAGAAAACTGTAGTGTAAGTTTTACATGATATGTCTGATAACCTGTCTCACACTCTGTATAAATGGCACAGCTCCTCAAATCCTTCTTGAGAATATGAATTTAATATGAAATACTGAAGATGTAGCACTGACCCAATGTATAACTCTTGCAGACACATAAAAAGAGTTTGTTCTGTTAATCTTGGTTTTGTGTGCATCATGTTTTAGCTACATAAAAGATTAAAAACAGTGGAAATACTGTATTAAAACCTAGCTAGCTAAGGAAATGCTTGGCATTTTATGATGCCCAGCATTAACAGTGGGAGAGGATTTCCACAACATTGAAGCAGTCTTTCCCCTGAAGGTGTTTGCGAATGTGACAGCCAAGCATTCCCTAACACTTAGCCCATGGGTTTTAAAGGCAATTTTGTCTTTTGTAACTTGGATGAGTAGGTAGAATTTAATGAACAAAATGACATTGATTTACTTGAAAACTATGGTTTCTCTTTTTTTGCTCAACAAAACAGGTTCTAATACCTGTTTGTTCTTTGATATGCAAGAGGTTGTCTTCGGGAGAATTTCTGCAAGGGAAATACTCTTTCTGGTGACCTCAGTGAGTTTAGCCATAGACTTATGTGCCTGGTTTTTGTTTATAAAATAGGTTGTTGATCACCGTGCTTGGCCCACTGAAGAAGAGATTATTAAATGCAAACTCTCTGCATTATGATTAAGATTTCTTTTCTTCTTTTTTTTTTTTCTTTTGTTAGGCAAGAGTCCAGCACTGTATTTGCTCTGTTGCCAGTGATCACTCAGTTGGTCTTCTGAGTCTGCGGGAGAAAAAATGCATCATGCTGGCATCCCGTCACCTTTTCCCTATTCAAGTAATAAAATGGAGGCCTTCTGATGACTATTTGGTGGTAGGATGTTCAGATGGGTCTGTGTACGTCTGGCAAATGGATACTGGTATGGTTAAGTTCAAAGATGTTGATTAAACAATTTTTTTATATATATATATGTATTTGGTTATAGTTCTGTGTAACTTGCATCTGAGAGAAGAGTTAAAATTTTTTTGCACATTTATATTTGGAAACTTAACACTCCACATATTCACAAAATTTTTGGATTGTATAAGCTTTTCTTAAATACATATTTTAGTATTTGGAATAACTTATTTAGTTTTGGAGAAGTATAGCTTGCTGTGGCTATCATACCCTTAAATGTTCTCCTAGTTATCTTTAGAGAGACCACTTAAAGTGCTGGCTGCGCATGTAGTGTTCTCTCAGTTTATTAGTGACCGTGCTTCCTCAGCAATTTTCTTCAAAGCTTGGTGTAGAAGTGCAGTACCTTGAATCTACAATAGTTTCCTCATCTGTAGAGTGAAAACAGTGTTTGTCTTGGTTTTTCTATTGTTTGCTGTGGGATTTTTTGGTTGGTTTGTGGGGTTTTTTTGTTGGGTTTTTTTTTTTGTTAAAGGGACTAACACTTAGTTGAAGAAACTAAAAATGAGCCTTAACAGAATGGGCAACAAGGCATAAAATAAAAACAGCTTTGTTCTAGAAAGTTTTGTGATGTTTGACGGTGAATAAGTGAGGAAAAAATGCATCAAAATATATGCAATATGTAATTACCTTTTAATTCCTTAACTCACTTAAGAAAAAACCTACAAACCTGCAATAATGTCTGAATATTATTTGCAGCTTATTGTGAAAACTAGATGAGAATTGGTTTTTATTGAAGCTCTAGGAGGCAAAGAGGAACCTGAAATCCATTGTGGAAAATCTAATCCACACAGGTAGTTGGGTGGAAGAGGGAATTCAAAATGTTTGAAAACAGCCTTCCACTAAAAATTTTGAGCAATTGCAGTCATCACTGTCTGGTCAGCACAGAATCACATTGGGGCTTTTTTTAAACCTGTCTTGGTTTTTGTTAATATGTTTATTCCTTGCACACTTCAGCTTCATGGAAATTTAGGGAAATTCCATCCCTTTAGGAATGTTAGTTCTACAAATAGCTGTTAACACAGCGGAAAGTTTATGCATTGCATCCTGTGGCATAAATTATCTTTGCCCGTTGTTGTACTTGTGATATTTTGGACATTCTGAATTGTTTCTGCTTAAACTCATGCTTTTCAAAATATTTGCAGGTGCACTGGACAGGTGTGTGATGGGAATAACAGCAGTGGAAATCCTGAATGCCTGTGATGAGGCAGTCCCAGCGGCTGTGGACTCCCTGAGCCATCCCGCCGTCAACCTGAAGCAGGCCATGACTAGGCGTAGTCTGGCTGCTCTGAAAAACGTGGCACATCAGAAACTACAGACTCTTGCCACTAACCTACTTGCTTCCGAAGCATCTGACAAGGTAAGTCATGTTTCAGTTCGTCTATTTTTAATGCAGCACCTGAAACATTTATTTCCATAAATAATTGAATAAAATATGGGAAGTCTTCATCGTTGTAACTGAAAGGTTCTTACTCAAAGCTTTCTGAAATTTTAACAGAAAGACCTGAACTAGCTTTACCTGGCCTTGGGTCAGTCCTAAGAGTTCATTTTCCGTGAACAAAAAATACCAGCCTTCTTCAACGTCATTGTGCAGCTTCCAATGCAGATGGTGTTATCTAGAGTTACATTTTAAAAACACATTTCGTTTATGTTTGTTCTATTTTGTGCTTTCAGTGGTAATGGTTTTCCGTGCTGGAGTCTAACACTTTTAAACTTCCTCTTCCCTGTGTATAACTCTGTGCTGCTTTCACCGTCTTTTCTCTAGGTTCAGTAAGAGTAGAGGTTATGCACCAAATAAATTCCTCTCTTTCTAGATAGGTAGTAATATGTTTTTAATATCACCCAACACAATCCCTTCCATATCTCTCTGGATGTGTTCCCCAATTTATGTTACTGTTTATGATGCTACCTCCTATTTCAGTATGCATTCTACTGGGTTTTTTTCAGATTGAGTTTATTCAAAATCTGGATTTAGCAGCATTTCATAAAATCTGGAATATTTGCTCAATTGTATACATTCTGTTAATTTGTAGTATTGATGGATAGACAAGGAACCAGCCTGTGACCCATATCCATCAGAAGCAAGTCTCACCCTTTTCGGTTTGTGCGAACTTTGAGGAACAGAATCAGCATTGATCTATTTTTTTTCTGTCTTCCCCCCCATATTGGACATGCTTTATATGTTCCTGCAGATCTTGCTAATGGTGAAGCTAGAGCTTGATTTTATTTTGTTTTGGTAGCTGTTGCTGTGTGACAGTTCAGAAAAAGTATATTGAAATATATGTACAAATAGATATGAATGGAGCCAAAGTTACTTAAATGCTGAAAATTCATTACGGTTTGAGAAAAGATCTTAAGTGTTTAATGCTAGAAGATATTAATGGGCTTACTTGATTCCTAAATATTTCAATGCTTAATGTTTAAGAACTTTTAAAATTATGTTTTATGATTTAGGTGATGAATTAAAATGGAACTATCTGTAGTAACTTGTTAAAAGCATTCATTAACTTTTCCTGAGTACGGTATGTCTATGTATATGGAGAGCGTGTGAGCCGTGGCATGTTTACATGTGTTCATTTAGACACAAAACTTTACAATCTATATGGATGTTGCTGAGTACAACAACAGGCTACTTACCAATCTGAGCAATAAGTAAATGCTCATATTAAGAATTCTGGTAAGCAGACCTTTCTGATAAGAGTCGTTCAAGTGTCAGGGCAATAGCTGGATAGTGAGCCTGCACATTGATCTCTGTAGTCAGGATGATTTTCCTCCATACTGGTTATTATTGCAGAAGCTGGAAGCACCGTAAATATTTTGAGATGTGGGGAAGTTCCTTTTTTAACAGCTAGTAATGAGCTCTTTTCTGAATTGATATCTCGCAATGAGAAGTAGCTTGGATTTCAAATTATATAAAGAGTAGGAAAGCTAGTACACTGAAAAAAATTTTAAGGAACTTCAGTATGGAGGATAGAATGGTGCAAGAGTTAGTTCTGAATATCCTGGTAATTTTAATGTGCCTAATTATTATTCAGTCTGATGGATTTGGACTGACCATTTTGAAAACTAACAGGCAGCTAACAGCATCACATCGCAGAGATGGTAGGAGATGGAACAAAAAAGCAAACAGTGAATTTCAGAAACAGGCTTAACTATCGATGGTAGTTTAGCTGGTGGGCTCAATAGCATGTCAGTGTAGATTGTCAGAGGAGAGCTTGAAGGAAGAACTTTCTCTTGGGCTTTGCATCATGCATTTTTGTTTTAGCCAAATACAGAGAAAAGGTAAGTCCTGACCTTGTGAGGATTTTATGAACTTTGTCACAGAAGGAATATGACCCCTGACTTACACATTTTTATCTTTCTGTTAAAGATTAATAGAAGGAAGTGCAAAATTATCTTGAAGGAAACTGGGAAAAATATCCTTAGAGTCACGTATTAGAGAAATATGGAAGAGGCTTTCCTTGCCCTGAGCAACATGCTCTAGTGGATCCTGCTTTGAGCAGGGGGTTGGATTGGAGGATCACCAACCTTAGCGATTCTGTGGTTGTGTCCTGCTTACATTTGCTCTTATTGGTGATTCCAATATGCTACCATTCATCATAACTTTCTTCCTAATAAAGACCTATCAGAGTAGACAGGTATTAAATTAGTTTAGTCTGTCAATGCCATTCAAAAATGTTACCCGAGTCCAAACAAAAAGAGCTTGTATTTTCACTTTTGTTTTCATTAATGCAGGCTGCCCAGGTTCTGTTAGTCTGGGCTGTGACCGGCAGAGAGCAGCAGAGCCCTGCTCCCAGCAGCTCACTGGCTTGGCTTTTGTCACTTCTTTCTTTATATTGCCTTCTTCTGTTACAATCTGTTTGGAAAAGAAATGTCACTTAGAGAGAGCATTCCTTAGAACACCACCATCATGCTTCTACAAATACATGTGTGTTCAGACTTGTGTGCTGGTATCCCTGCTGCATCCAGTATGACTGTTCACATACGTAAGCATGAATGTTGCACTTGTACGTGCTGTGCAAATGTACGTGTTTTATGTGCAGGTTCCTCACATCTAATGAAGGTGTTGCTACCTACAATGGCATGATACATAGCACAGCCGGATGTGTTCTATGCCAGAGGTCAATGATGATTAGTAGCTAAAATATTTTTATTATATTGTTGCTTTTAATTTTACCATTGTAACCATTACCAGAGACCATTTAATAAAAAGTTCCCTACATTACATTCTGAGAAAATAACTAGAAGTTTTTAAATAAATAAGGAATATGTGAATAACTCCGTGCATTGTAGAACATAATTTGCAGCTATTATTTATTGACATCTAAGTATTCTATTCTGGTTTCAATTAGCCATTATTTGCTTCTCATGGCAAATTTATTTAATAAGCATAGTTTATTCATTCTCCAAGTTGACCACAGGGAGAGGAGCAGAATTTGGCTATTTGCTCTAGTGCTGATTGCATTAGGCCCTGGCTGTTTGTCTGGCACGGTGAGCTAGCCTGCGCTGCAGCTCCTCTGAGAATGTAAGAACAGGGAGTGAGGAGGTTGGTCTCTGTTTAATTTTTCTTTCATAATCCCTGTGACCAAATACAAGGTTTCCTTCTGGTAGTGCCTTAACTTCGTTACATAAGTGAAATGAATTTTAATTTGAGGAAAGACAGAAATTTAACATTATTTGATTCTAGCGGAATAGCAGATAGTATTGAAGATTTTGCCAGGTCTGCATTTCATTGTTGGAGAGTCTTTTGATACGTTTTGAATATTGCTCTATGTGTGTGTGTGCGTGCGCTTTTGGTATCTGGTTTGTTTGTTACAAAATGAGTGTGTTGGAATAATGTGAAATATTTATGTGTATTTGTTGAGAATCATCCTCTGAAAGCAAGCAAGAACTAGTGAGTGCAGCAAGCAAACCAATAATTGTACTTGCTCTTCTCTGCTTCAATACCATATAGTAAAACATATGTAGGTATTTGTTCTAACTAAGCGAAATATTAGCAGCCTTAAATTAAGAGTCTGCAAATTAAATAAATTATTAGTGTGGTAGAAAAATGAAGATTACAATATCAAATAAGATTAACATAGTGGATTGGTTTAGATAAATACACTTTGTGCATATTATGTTTAGACAGGATTAAAGGAGCGGTTTCTTACTCTGTTTTTTCCCCTGGGCCTCTTGCTGTGAAACAGTCAAGGGGAGAGGTTGTTCTTGAGTTGCTCCAAAACAGCAGTCAGAAATAAATCGTGAGGAAGCTGTGGCTGGATCATCAGCTGTGCTTGATGGCAGGTCAGGGTAGCGGAGCCTCTTTTGGACCCATCGGTTTCCAAATATAAAGCTAATGTAAAACTTTGGAATGGTCAGTTTTTCCTCTGAAAATTTTTTTGCTGTAGAAAGCAATCTTACACTCTTCCAGGATATACAGTAACTAACAGCCACAGAAAAAGCAGAGTGCTTTACAAGACACAAATCTGTGTGAATGAGAACCTTGAGAATTAAAATAATAAGCTTATTTCGAAGCCAGGTTCATACACTGGAACAATAATTAACGTGATGAGGTGGACATGATATTCTTCCATGCCAACAGCATTTTGGGGGTCTTAACAGCTATAATGGAAAAGGAATATATAAAAATTACTTCAGTTTTCAAACACGTGCTATGAAACTTGTACAAAACTTAAAGCAGCCAAGTAGTTGTAGGACTACAAATGCTTACTGTCTTGAAAAAAAAGTCCTTGAGAGACAATAAATGGTACATATGCATGTCCAGTTTTCCAATTATAAGTAGAATATACATTTGTTTCTGTGATTCATAGTGATAAGTACATTTGTTAGTGTTCAGAAGTAGAATGAAAAGGGTTGAAAAATGCAAGACAATGGGTAAATTATAAAGAAATAATGTAGTTTTATAACTCAGCAGATTTTCAGTGGTGAGCACTCCTATGACCCAGGGTATTTAAGGCTTCGTAAGATGTGCACATTGCTTCACATCAGTGAACAAAGGAAGCAATATATCAGGATTTATATAGAATACGGTAAAAACCTATTACGAATTAGTGTTAATATACATAGGATGTTCAAATTTTTGCCGGATATATAGAGTGTATGATGGTTATTTGTATAGTCTCTATATATTTATAGTGTAAGTGTATGTGTATATATATGCATACATAAATACATATACATACAGTGTATATATGAAAACTGCAAGCCTTGTTAATTTCTAAATAACTATCCTGCTGTAAAATGTGCTTTTGTGGTTTAAAAAAAGACAACAGAGAATGGAAATTTTAGAGTCTACCAAACTGAAAGTTTGTAGAAATGTTAAGGCTGTTTAGTTATAGACGAGAAAAGACATAGGAGCCTTGACTGTATGACTTTTATTGGTGATATATTAAGAACTTTTAGGTTAATTCTAGTTTCAGTAAAGGTTGATGTTTTCTGAACAAACCATTCGGCCTATATCAGTTTTGGGGAAAAAGTACCATTCCTCCTGCAGCCATTCTTAGACTTGTGTAGGGTAATTATTTTTGTGTATTCCCTTAGACTTGGCTGTCAACTGAGCACAGGGTTTAAGTTCTGCAGTGACTAGCACAAGCATCAAGAATGCTTCTTCATCACCAAACTTAGTCACTGCTTCTCCTGTAGGTTTTTCTTGCTATGACTTTGTAATTCTGTGCATCTAACATGAATATTCAACCTTGTGTCTTTCAAGCTGTTAATTAAATTGTAAAAGAGGAGAAATAATATTTTACTTAATTTGAACAGGGTTTATTTCTGTTAAAAGATTCTCTTTTTTGCCTGTTTGAGGAAACTAAGTACTTGAGCATAATTTTGTGTTGGTTATGGAGAGAATAAAGTTCTCACAATGCTTAAAAACTTCTGTTAATGTTCTTCCATCCAATGTCCTTTGATTTTTTTCAGCTTTTATCCCATAGCATTTTAATTTTATTTTCTCCCCCCCCCACCCCGGGAGGAAGGGAAGGAGGAAGTAGAGGGACTTTAGTGGAATGAACAAGTGACACACATAATGCATATCTGGACGAATTTATTAGTAGCTTATTTTCAATGGCATAAATTGATGCTATACTTCAGTATCCAAATAGGAAATATTTAATGTGTTTTAAGTTTAAGAACAAAATATTGAAATCTTATTGTTTGTTGGAGTATAACTATTATCTTTTGGAATTCATGAGAAAGAAATGTGAACTTCTGTCTTAGAGAGTTCTATTTATCTGATAAACTTCTGCAAGTGAAATTTCTGTATTTTAGGTGTGTAACACTTGATCACAAGTCTGACATTCCTGACACTGTGAAAAGTGCTGTAAAATTCTTCACTGATATTTTTATAATATTTATCATAACATGTTTTATACCCATGGGAGTTTTCAAATTTTGATCATCCACAGCTTCTTTAATTTGTGAATTAACTTTGTGAAAAGTGTTAAGAAAGTAATCCAAATGAAATTTTTTTTTTTATTTTTTTCCTTTGTTCAGGGGAATTTACCTAAATATTCACATAACTCCCTGATGGTTCAAGCTATAAAGACTAACTTAACAGATCCAGATATACATGTGCTCTTCTTTGACGTAGAAGCCCTGATCATTCAGCTACTGACTGAGGAGGCCTCCAGACCCAACACTGCACTCATTTCTCCAGAGAATTTACAGAAAGCCTCTGGCGGGTCTGACAAAGGAGGCTCCTTTTTGACTGGCAAACGAGCAGCCGTCCTCTTCCAGCAGGTCAAGGAAACAATCAAAGAGAATATAAAAGAGCATCTTCTTGATGATGAAGATGAGGATGAAGAATCGATAAGACAGAGAAGAGAAGACGGTGACCCAGAATATCGCTCTAGCAAATCTAAACCATTAACTTTATTAGAATATAATCTAACCATGGACACAGCAAAGCTTTTTATGTCCTGTCTTCATGCCTGGGGCCTGAATTCTGTTCTAGATGAGCTTTGCCTTGATCGTCTTGGGATGCTTAAGCCACACTGTTCAGTGTCCTTTGGCCTCCTGTCTAGAGGAGGCCACATGTCTCTGATGCTTCCTGGCTATAATCAGCCTGTAGGCAAACCATCGTATGATAGTGTGGAGTTAGGAAGGAAAATGTCCATTACAGAAGGGCTTGGAAAGGGGACGTACGGTGTATCACGTGCTGTCACCACTCAGCATCTCCTGTCTGTTATCTCACTGGCCAACACACTGATGAGTATGACCAATGCAACTTTTATCGGAGACCACATGAAGAAAGGTCCAACAAGGTATGGCAAATACTCAATTGAACTTGTGATAACTTTCTTTCAGAGTCTCTATTTTAATACAGCATTTCATTTTGTTTCATTTTACTGTGGGGTTTGATGTATTAAATGGCTATGAAAACCTTTGGTACCTAGATGGAACTGAGTGTAATTTTTTTTCTTGAATGTAGGTGTTTTGTTTGTGGGGTTTTTTTTACACCAAGATAACGATATTGCTTTGAATGGAGTTACGTAACTTACAATGTTAATAGGACATGGAGTTGTATTAATATATGTGCTGGTAGGTCTGAGAGGCTATTTCTGTCCTCCTTTTTAGTGCTTATTGGTTTTAAAGAGTTTTTATAATGAGTAGGTCAAAACATAAATCAAAACATACAGATGAACTTTTTATTACCAAAAAATAAGCTTACCTAGGAAATGTAAATGAGAGATTTTTTTTTTTTCTGTCAAACTGACTGGTTTTTATAGGGTTGCTTTTAAAGTTTGTTTAGTCACAGTATCTTTAGCAAATAATCTCTCTTTTTTTTTTTTTTTTTTTTTCCCCGTTCTCCCTCGCCCTTCCACTATGCTCCTTTTTCCCCCCTTTCATGTATATTTTGTGTTTAGGCCACCTAGGCCAGGTACTCCTGAGATGTCAAAAGTGAAGGCACCCCCTTCAATTTCAAGTCATGCAGCCCAAGGACAAATTAAGCAAGGTAAATATCACTTGCTTTGGAACAATTTGATATGTCATTTCAGCTCTTGACACTGAAGTTACCACCTTACTATCAAGTGATTTGATAGCTTCTATGTGGGACGAAAAAGTAGTGTAATATTCTAGACAAAAATTTTAATGACTAAGACCTTTCTAAGAACCAATATAAGATGCTGTTACTGTCACAAAGTCATTCCCTGACAATGAATTTCTGCGTATTTTAAGTGGTCCCAAACATATTGGTGTTGAGGTGATAGTAAGAGGCTTAAAGTCTGTAGCTACAGCCTATACAGACTAATACAAAAATGTTTATGTATGTTATAAACTAAAGCATAAAGGTAAACACATCTAAGTAGTATGTATACATTTCCTCTCCTTTTTAAGGAGGAGGAAGAAATTATTTTAACACTACTTCTACTGCTGTTGCTATTTTCATCACTTGCAGTTATGAAAGATGGCAGTGGATGATACTGAAGGATCTTTTAATAGCCTGCATTTTATCTTTCCTTTCATAAGTACAATGGTTAAGTACAGGAAGTAAAACAACATGTGATGTAAAAGAAGGAGGTGCACAAGATTAGACATGACTTTTCTACAGGAGTAGAGTGGAGCAGGGACTAGATATTCCTCCAGGCAGCAGGAGCACACAGAAACAGTCCTGCTGGGGACTGGAGAGATAGAGGAGGAGGAGGAGGCACCTTCCTGTTTGCTCTTTAAATTAGAGCTGCTGTTTGATGGGGCAAGTGAGCTACTCTTCTTAATGCCAGAAATACAGTAAATGTAAACCACCCTGTGATGTGGCCAGTTCTGACTTGAGCTCAGAACTAAGGAGCAAGTGAACTGTTGGGAAGAGTGTGGGGCGACTCTTGGGGCGGCAGCTGGTGCGGGCTCGTGGGGACCGAAGGCAGCGCAGTACGGCTGTGGTGCCCAAAAGAGGAGGGGCGGGATTTACCCACTGGGATAACGGGAATAAAATCCCCTTGGGACCAGTTGAAGGCTGTTTATGGCTTGAGGGGAATGTATATGCGTAACCTTTGTCATACATGTTTTGCTGTATGATAAAACAAGGAGGAAAGGTGTACACATCATTGCTCTTCTTACAGTTCTTTGGGATTTTTGTGGATGTGAGCCTAGCTGCATGCATATACTGTAGGGCAAAAGAGGAAAGGTTTTTCTTTTTTTCCGTAATGTGTTTGTTGGGTTTTTTATTTAATAATCTATAAAGCATATAGCCCTCAGGACTTATTAAAATTTACTTTGAGAATGGCAATTATGTCTTATTTTTAACTTTTACCTGTTAACTATTAAAACTCTGTCTTTTCAAGCTATATGAATACAGAGAAACTTGCAGTATATAAAATCATTGCATTTTGCAGAATACAAATACTTTGTCATTGTGGTATTTACCGCAGTGTACAATCTTTAAAGATGTACATTAAAGATATATGGACATCTTTAAAAAATATTTAACTGTGGAACTGCTCTTGTATTAGAGAGCTAGTAAGCACAGCAGGAAACTTATACATCAACTGTTTGATTTTTTTCAGTCAGATGCAAAAAAGGGGGATGTTTGTGTCTGAGGAGGAAATTTGCCCATCAGCAACATTTGTGTGTATTTATTCTTTTCCTAAATGTAAATATTAACTTACTGAGATCTTTGGAAAGGGAAAATCAGTTTCAGGAGTGGTATTGGTCAAGCTTTTTTCATGATCATGAAACATATGCTACATAAATAGAGAAGTAGCAGTCAGTAACAGAAAACAGAATTAAAAAAAATTGGGGCTCTTGTCTCGACATGTGGGGCTTTTTTGATTTTGTTTTTTTGGTGGGTGGTTGGTTGGTTGGTTTTTTTCCCTTCTTTGAAAGATAATTATTTGAAAGATCAGGATTTCTCAGAGATGGTGTCTATATGGCAAGTTCAATGTGAGGAAAAAACATATTCGTCACAGAGAGGATCTGTGTCTGTGTCTTGGTTTTAAAGATATAGTTCTATTATGATTTTTCTTTCCTGAAAGACAACTATGTGATTTTTTTTTTTTTTTTCCCCCTTTGAAAGAGCTTTGCCAATTTTGGGGATAGACATACTTTAGTTACCCAGTGGAAAAATTTGTAACTTCATGAGAAACAATTGACAAAAATGAAATTCTGTGTGCTGTCAAAAATAGAGAAAAATACTCCTGTTCCTAAATTGTTATCTCTTTCTGTGTCTGGTGGCATGTCTCACATGCTCTTGGGGGAAAATTATTTTGTTTCTAAGTGGTACTCTTGGGTCATAAGTTTCCTCAATGTCTTATCTTTACATCCAATTGTATGCTGCTTGCAGTTTCTTGCTACTCCTATATTTCTAGCACTATTATTCTTAAAAATCAGTTAGAGATACAATTAATGCATTTTATGACATGTTTGATTTCCATCAATTTGACCTGTATTTGTCCTGAGATGAGCACAGCTCTGTGCTACTCGGCCACTGGTCCATTACAGTCATTGTTGTAATTACTGATGTTGGAGGAGAGCGAACAACTACAACAAAATAAGGCAAAAAAGAAGCTTCAGAGTAAGACTTAAGTTTCGGTATGGGGTGGTTTTGTGGGGTTTTTTTACAGTCTTTTTCGTAAAATGAATAGCTTTTTTTATACACCTACTGAAACTAGGTTTTGCTGTCATGAAGTGATTTACGCTAGTCATCCTGTCACTGTACACGTGCCATCATGATGCATTTGTGTGAAAAGTATGGAAAAAGTAGTTTTGATGCAGATGTCCCACGGTGACAAAAGAAGTTCACTGCATGAAAAGCAAACAGACCATTCAGAAGACAATGCTTAATCGGTTCAGGAGCTTGAACCCATTGTTGTTCTGCAACGGAATAAGAGAGGAGGATTAATTTGAAGATGCTTGTGCATGACATATGGTAATTTCTCTATAGGAAGGAAGTGTCAGATAGTGACCTCTAAATCTCCACATTGACCTCGGGTTGTAGCATGTGTATGCCATAAGGTCTGCGCATCTTTTCATGTGATAATACTAAGTCGTGAAGCATTAGTGGAAGTACAATGTTTAGAACTGCTTTTAAATTACATTTGCACCAAGAAATGATGGAGTTTACAAAATAAATGTCACAGATACTGTTTTGAGTAACATGCTCGAACTGTGCTCTTCTGTAGTTGGCTTGCCTGTAGTCTTACTCTGTAAGCTCTGCACGCTTCTGCTTTAGATTTTTAGTCCTTTCTTTGGTATAGGCTTAAAATTATTTGAATGGAGACACATTTGAAATGAACCTATATTAAAACTAACCATCAGTAATACATTCTGTGACATTTTAGAGTGACAGATGGGGCAGCCCAGGTTTAAAAGGGGTTATTTCTAGGGGTTTTTAATGAGTAGTACAAATTCCAAATCTATCTAAATATGGGAAAAGCACAAGAAGCAGCAGCAAAACTCCTGTTTTTAAAATTCATAGTCAACTGTGCTGTCAAACCAAATGTAGTATCTAAAGACATGTTTGTAATTGCTTTATTTACAGGTACTTTTGTCTTTTCAAAACATGCAAGTTTCTGTTAGTGTATCTGTGTTTCTCTGCAGTTGCATGTCTTCCTCTCACTGGCATTGCACTTCTTGTAAAACCTAGAGTTTTTTTTAAGTTGAATATTATCACAGTTTCTTCCAGTTTTGTTTTTCATTCTTCAGTGATACTAATCTGTTTTTCAGAAGCTGCTCTCCTCACTTTCCTATTTTTTTTTCTCTTTATTTCTTCTTTCCTCTGCAAGTTGCTCCTGCTGTTTCTTCTAGCACTGAAGCTGGTCACTCTGGCTCTGACACTGCTCCTACTTTACATACCTGTTTCTTAGTCAATGAAGGTATTCTTTTCTCACTTTTCTATCTATTTGTCTTTTACTTTCAACTAATGTCCCTTATCATTGTTATGACATGACTTTAATTTGATCTGCGTAGGAATTTTTCCTTGTAAAAGACAGGCAATGAGGGTTTTTGTATATTTTGCCATTAATGCTGGTAGAGGGTAAGCAGATCCTGTTTGTGTGTCTTGGACTGTCTGTAAGTTCAGTTCTCAACTAGTGTATCAAAGATGGTATTTCGGATCTTGTTTGGGTTTGCTGTTGTCTTTTGACAAAAAATCTCAGCCCTTTTTTAAGTAGGGAAAATACATATGCCTTTACCCTTTGGTAGTATATGAAGGAGAGAAGCCGCAACACATGTGGTGTGTTCCATGCGGGTGCTGCGTCCCATCTCTCGGCTGCGAGTGTGAGTGCCGCTTCTCAGTACGAAGGGTCAGCCCCATCTAGAGCTTCAGAGAGACCTACTGGGATGAGCATGGGATAGGTCTTGTGCTCCCGAGGTGAATGAGCACCAGCGCTCTGTAGTCCACGTTACAAATTGAAGGACCACAAATTTAATGCTCCTTTAAAGTGAAACAAACAAAATCAGTTTCATGTCATTTAAATTTTATTTTTGGTGCTCGTGAAAACTTAGTGTTTATTTAAAATACTTGGGGTTTGTGTTGGGGATTATTTTTTCTAGTAAATATTTATCCACATTATGAAGAATGTCTTTCTGCCAAAAAGATTGGCACAACAAACAAACAAAAACCCCTTTTATCCCTGTCAACAAGTTGCTTTAAATCAGAATTTTTATGCCCTTATTACTAAGCTATAAATTCCTACTTTCATGCATCTCAAGTATTAGAAACAGAGCTCTCTTTAATTGGAAATTCCTCTTTTAAATCCATTTTTCTTTAAGGAAAATTGACATAATGATTTCTTTTCTTGTAGCACCATGAAGAGCTTTATTAGTTAAAATATTTAGATTTTTGTGCTCAGTATTGGTGACAATCTAAAAATATAGATCTGTATGCTCATCTGAAGTATTTCTCCAGTTTCTCAAGTCAATGTAGAGCATAATACTAGAATAGTATTTTGCATAGAGTACTTTACAAGCATTTTTAAAGGCTATGTTGTTTGAGCTTGATAACGCTTATCTTTGCTGGTTTTAACTATGTAACGTTGCAGGCTTGCAGTATGAATGCACCTGAGGTAAGCATGTTGAAGTAAGATTTAGATGGAAAGATAAGGATAGCAGACAAACATGCACTTACACATATTTGCATACCTTTTAAAACGGGACAGAATATTCTATGTACTCTTTCTAGTGGTAATTCATATGCTAAGTTTTCTGTAATTGAATTAAATCACACTTGCATGTAGGACATAAAATATCACGATAAGTAATGCTAATTATAGTTTGAATAGGGCTTCTAAATCTTGAACTCAGAACTACGGCTTATGCTTTTGCAAAAAATTGGCCATAATATTTTAGGGACTTCTTTTTTGTTTTGTACGTATGTTGAGTATATTCTTGAGGCTGCAAGTTTAAAATCCAAGCATGTGACTAGACACTGAAGTCTTTTTGAGAGGGGCTGGGGAGGAAGAGGGATGTTTATGTTTGATTAGGACTGATTTGAGGCAGTCTTCTGCTGATATCTCGTTTGACCCTTGCATGTGTTTAAAAGATCTCACCACCTAGTTCACAAGGCGTGATTTATGCCTGGAAGAGCTCATTCCTGTCTGACACAGAAAGCACATGCACTGTACAACCTGCCTTGAGGTCAGCTGGGATCAGTAAAGACAGGGTGCAGCCCATGATGGGGTGAGCCCCAGGTTCCCACAGCAGAAGAAACAATTCTGTTGTTCTGCTGCAGAAGTGGTTCTATTGGTTTTTTTCCTCTCCCTCTTTGTCCCACCTTCTCCTGAAGATCTACTGTGTACCAGGCCAGGGGCCAATGTAAATTTACTTGATGGCATTTTGAATTTAAACTTGCTTCGGTGTTTATTATGTTTACCTTCCTGTTGTGATGTGTTTTAACAGGGTGGAGCCAGCTCGCTGCTATGCACTGTGTAATGCTCCCTGACCTGTTGGGACTGGATAAATTCAGACCTCCTCTTCTGGAGATGCTGGCTCGCAGGTGGCAGGATCGATGCTTGGAGGTGATTTCAGTAGTAATTTTGTACTGCTAGGTTTTTTGGTCTTTATGTTGTCTTTTACTGATCACGTTTTCCCTTGATATAAAAAAAAGAATTCTTTTTCTGACACAAGTTCCCACGGTTGTTATTTATTTCAGATTCAGTAAGTTAATTTTCCAGTTAACCTGTCAAAATGTGGAGTAAAGTGATCGCATGTGTGTATATATATTTATTTATTTAACCTTCTGGACACTGTACATATGGTTTTTTTTAAAAGAAATTATTCGATTAAAAACTTTCATGATATCATTAAGAATCTTATTAGGATTAAAAAAACCCTACTCTATATTTTTCAAGAGACTGCTGAGTTGCTCTATTTTTTGGAGCATGTATACAGTAGCCAGTAAATGGTTTGTCACCCAACTGTTTGATAAATGACTAGTGGGCCTTAACACTACACCTGTGCTGGTGTGGCAAAAAATTTGTTGACTGTGCAGCTTTCCAAGTGGGAAAGGAATGACAGAGCTGGGTTGTAGACTGTAGGTCCTCAGCGGTCCTGTAACTTAATTGGGAATATGTTTTTTTGCTACCTGATTGCCTGTTCTTTTGCTAGATAGGATATACTGTGAGGTGGTTTCCTGAGAGGGTAATTACTTTGAAACTCATTAAAATTTGTAAGCAACAGAAGTCCAGTTAACTGGATATCCTAAGGTGTCAGGTTAATGTATTTATATTCTGTCCACAATTTTTTATTTTACCTTGATCAAATCATGTGTGTGTTAACTCTTTTAGACCAAAAATAATGTGTGTATTTATGATTGTGCATTTATGAACTCTTCAGGTGGAACAAGGGATATTAATGGGGGACAAGTAGTACAAGATAGTATTTTGTATTTATTGGTGTAAAAACTCTGGTTTGGTTTTTTTTTAAACTTTGGGGAACTTTTTATGTATTTTTTCCTCTGCTTTCATTGCTCAGTCTTCTGTAATATGTAGTAAATGAGTAAATATAATGTGAAAAAATATTTTTAAGTGGTTTTTTTGTTTGTTTTGCTTTTATATTGCAACATTCATGACATTTAGAAGACTTTATTCATTGCACATTTGGAACTTTGGACCCAGCTTTGGAAATACTGTAGAGAGGGGTGATCACAAATTGCTTCCAGAAAACTAGAATTTTGGTGGCCTTTCAATGCATCAGCACAAACATAAGGTTCAGCCTTATTTCCTTGAGTGAGAAACCTGTCTTCCCATTCACTTTATGGGATGGGAGACAGCCTCAGTCATTCTTGCTGTCTGTGCTGAGAAAAGCATTCCATGGAGGCCGGGAGGAGGTGGGACAGTTGTTTGGCTTATGCACTGCATTCATGCCAGGGACTGAGTTGTGACGTTCATCCCCTAGTTTTCTTGTGAGGCAGCACATCTTCGCTGTGTCCTGGGCATGTCCTATTCGTGGTTATTTTGCTTCTGTGTTTACGGTGGAGAGGGGTGGGAGAAAATGAAGGTCTTCTAAAAGTGTAGTTTACTTTTTTGCAGGTATTTTTTCTTTCATTCTTGCTAAATTATATTGAAATCATACTGACAAATGTTTGAGTTTGTACAATATTCCTGTTGGCTTTACAGGTAAGAGAAGCTGCCCAGGCCTTATTGCTAGCAGAACTGAGAAGAATCGAGCAGGCAGGTCGGAAGGAAACCATTGATGCGTGGGCTCCTTATTTACCACAGTACATTGACAGCGTTATATCACGTAAGTAATGCTGTGTTAAACCTGAAAATAACTTGGTTGCTAGATAAAAGAAAAAAAGGCATTTTGTACATGAAATTATGAACAATGCTACCAATCTAGGGGAAAATTCTAGGGGAAAAATCTGGTTATATAGAAAAGTTTCTTGAACTTTTCAAAGTAATTTCACAATCATGAAATCACATAAGGTCACTAATGCTGATGAAGTAAATTGAACACTTCATCTCATTGGAATGGGAGTGTCTTTTGCAAAGGCTGTCCCTGCTGCTGAGAGGCTAGGCTGTAGTTTGGAGTTTTCAGGAAAGAAATCTGCTATAAAAAGGGCTGATAAAATTACAAGGTACTGGTGGTAAACCACTGATGTTCCTTTTCAAAGAATGTATAATTAGATTATAGGAATTGTTATAAGGGGATCCTTAGGCATCCCAAGAGTATGAAAGGATTCTGAAAGGAGCTAATACAGGGTTGTGCAGCATATGTCCATCAGGGTCTGTTAAATATTTGATGCAACTCCAACCCAGTTGGGTGTTCAAAGCCATTGGTTACCAAGTGCCGCAAGGAGATATTGGGTAAAGATTATTCTCCAAATAAATTAAATAGCTACTGACCACTATCTAATCTGTTGCATTTTTCTCCAAAATACCTATTTACATTTTATACGTTGTTATTAAAGCAGAGGTTGTACAGACTCTTAAGAATATATTCTTGGAAGATCTGTGAGCATCATAAGATACCCCATTCAATTATCCATCTGGAAACTTGCCTTACAGAATAATGTCCAGATACATCTGCCGTATATAATACACCAGTAAAAATTTATATCTTCATGAATGAGAATGTTTGTTTTCTTTTAAGTCATACGTGCTCATCTTTCTTAAAATGAGATTCTTTTTCCACTGAAGAATGTAGTTTCTATTCAGAGAAAGATCTATATTAAATACCAATTGATTTTTGAGAGATGTGTAATAATCTTATTAAATCTAAATTGAATGCATAAATTACATGGAACACAGTACTTTAAAGTGATGTTGAGAATTTGTTGTTAAGACTAAGCTGTTGCTAATTACAGCCTTCAACTATGTAGCTTTTGCCTTATTACTGGGATGTTGTTGCACAGTTAGACGTGCAGCCAAGCTGTGAATAGGAAGTGAAAGTATATTGTATGTACATGTGAAAGAGCCTTGATTCATACGGATAGATGTTTGTGCCATTTTGTATGTTAGGATGTATTTTTTAATTGATCTCCTTATGAGGTCAGTTTGTAGAATACAGCTATAGTTGCCCGTTACTCTGAGGAGCAGCTGCTATAGAAACTGTTGATGATTACTAATTTCTTTTCTCTGGAATGATACTGAATGACCTTGTTGGATGCGAAGTTATGGACATAATTGTCTTGGTGAAGTGTACATAAACCACTCTGCAGTGCTTTCTTCAGCCAGTTGACTGTTTCCGAAAAAGGAATTTCTTTTTAATATACTTGAAAACAACCAGTAATTCATATTAGTTTCAATAATTTGCTATTTCCAGTACTGCTCATTACTTAAACAATTACATTTGAAAGTTTTAGAGAAGAGTATGCTGTTCTATTTTACATTTGTGTCAGTTGGAAGCATAATATTTTGTTCTGCCTCTTGTGCTTAATGTTTGTGTTCAGGTTAGAAGCATGGCATGCATTTTTATAGCAATAGTCAGGGACTGACTCATTTAAGAAAAAACTTGAGTATTTTGTATGCATTTAATTCAAGTATGTATACGGTATTTTGGCCTCTGCTAGTCATTAGGAAATCAAAGCATACAATTTGTTTTCACACTAAATTAGGATGTGCTTATCTATCAGCAAAAGAAAGTTTTAAGACACAGGAAGAAAATATAAAATAGATCAGCTAAGCATGGCTGAATGAATGACTTGAATGTAAATGTTCAATATTGTGAAAGCAAAACAGGTTATGACTAGCAAATTGGAATTAATTTTTTATGCTAACAGTTTTGCAAACTATGAATGACAGGACTGAGAAGGCATTTAATAGTGTTATCGTCTGTATGAACGTACACCAAAATGCTGGCACTCTGAAGAAGAGTAATAATTAGGGTATCAGAAAGGAGAAACAAAAGAAGGAGCTACAAATGTTGCTGTTGTGGGTAAAGAGCAAAGTGTATATATTAGTAACATTGTAAGACATAATTTAAAAATGACATGTTTTTTAAAGGTCTAGGGAGGAATTGAAGGGGATAAGAATTATTTAGGATGGCCAAAATGGATGCAATGGACTTCTGAAAAGTATAGTTTTATGCTAGAAAGGTAAGGAGAAGAAATATGAAAGATGAAGAAATATTGCTTTGATTCCTTCATTCTCCACTCCTCCCGATTTTGCCTCTTGATATAGCGGCATAAATTATTATCAGCATGTTTTTGTGTCCAGCATATGTTATTGCTCTGCAATAGTTCTTATATGTGTGATGTAGAAACAGTGCTTCTCTTGCACATTAACAGGTTTGTTTTAATTAAAACAAGTGGTAATCACTAATAGAAGCTTGCTGCTGATATAAGATACTTTGTCATATGCATTTAATTGGCTCTTGAATGAATCAAGCGTGTAGTACTAGCAAACGGCGATGAAATCTTTTCCCCATTTGTATATTTGCTGCTCAGATCCAATAGCAATTCTGGGACATGACCTTACTTGTACAGATCAAGCAACTGGCACGTCTCCCAGCGTTTTGATAGAATGTGTTCAGGGGACTTGATTATCTCTTAATAATCTTTTCACTGATGCAAGAGAGATTACTGTCCCCCTGTAGATGGCAGGGTGGAGGAGCAGGGAGAAAGCCAAGCAGATCTTATTTTCTCTTTGGTGGGTCTGCCCGCACGCCACCACCTTGTGCTGCAGGGACCACCTCAAACGGGCCCTTTACACTGTCACGGCTCTGAGCAGCTCGCTTACAGCTGCCTGAATGGCTTCTGTGTCGCACGATTTGCAGTTCAGGTGTTCAGACGCATTAGGCTTCGTTTCATAGCACCTTGTAGGGGGAACAATAAATCTTTGTTTTATTTGGGCCTTCAAATCCAAAATTGGCATGTCAGCTTGTTGACCCCCCATCAAATGGGAATGGATGTGTAAGTGATGCTATGAATTAAACCTATGAGAGATGTTGCAGGTGTTGGTATTTTTCAGGCTCCCACAGGGAGGAAAACAGTTAAGCTTTCAAGGCTTCATCTTGTATCTCCCAAGATTATGTCATGTGACTGTGTAAATATTTGCCATAGCCTTATCTGCTCCTCATTTGCACAGCATACAGTTGTTTCTGAAATGCTGCATAGTCTGTGGGGCGTTTGCCACAACGATGTGTTTTCAGGTGAAGTTCAAAAAGGGAAACATGCTACTGCCTTTTCCTGCCTGCTTATTTTGAAGAGCAAGGGCTATCTTCAGTGTCAAACGGATTCTGCAAATTAAATTATCTTTTTAAAGGGATTTCTTTGCTGAATATTACGTTTCTATTTTATTTCTTTATTTATTTTACCTTGGTCAGTGTAAATGTTTTCTTAAAATGCTGAAGGCATCATTTCAGGGCTCTGTGCAGTGGGACGCCTGAAAGCTCTTGGTGGTGGGTCTGTCCACCAAGCCCTGGAGGGACAGATATATTTTTAAATATGTGATGTTACTGCAGATACAAAAATGGCTCCTATGGCTTTAATGGAAAGCAAAAGGTTATCTTGCCCCGGCCTTTGTGTGCATGTGGGATGCGGATGAAGCCAGCAGACAGGCAGCCCGTGCGGGGCGGCTGGGAGCTGCCCGGGATCGATCGGAGCGGTGTGGAGTGAATTAATGTGAGGCAGGCAGGCTGCCTGTCATGGGCTGCCAGGATGCGGGCAGTGCTGGTCAGCCTCTGCAGAAATCTGTTTTCAGTACATTCTGCACAGAAATTAAGTATAGGCACTTCTCTTGCTTCCCATGTTGCTAAAACCCAGTTCATTCAGGTAAACATTTGTGTCAAATTACTGTTTCTTTTTAAGTGAAAATCTTAAATGTGGTAGCACAAAATTAAAGAAATTTAAACAGATATCCTTAAATTGTGTGTCTCTCTAAACTGCTTCAAGTAATAATCAGTGTTATCACTGGAAAGCAAAATGAATATGAAAAGTCCTATAATAATGTAATAACGAATATGCTGTTGTCAGCTTTTATGAATGTATTTCTACTAGACTTATATTTCTGTTAGAAAGTTTTATTTAAAGCCAGATTAATTGAGTAAAACTTAATTAAACTTCCATCGATTTAAATGAGAGTTTTTATTGAGTAAGCATAGTTTGATTGGACCCCAAAGACGTTGCTGTTTATATATGTGGTTGATCATCTTACTGGTGCAAGGTTTGACTTAAAAGAGCACAAAGAAGTAAGGCGAATAATTTTGTGCTGCAACATTTTAATGTATTAAATGAATAATGAGTTTAGGATGCTGCAGTAAATAGTAAATTGTAATAATGGCATAAGTTTCTAAAACAAGTATATCTCACTTAATCTTCCAATATTTTTCTAATACGTCAGCTGGCTTATTTCTAATCCATTCAGGGGTTTATGATCTTTTCACTTCTAAAACATGTTTCTGAGTAATTTTTGGTGAATTATGTAGAAAAGACTTGTGTCCAGGAATACATGTTCCTTCTTGCTGGATTTTCATTGAGAGGAAATGATAATTTATTGCCTGACAAGTTTTGTGTGATGGCTATTTTTCTCCCCTTTTGGCTTTACCTGTTCAGTGGTTTTTGAGGAATGTTTAATCGTTCTGATTAAATAGATTTTTACTGATATTTTTATTTTAATTATATAAAATTTTAATAAACTTTTCTAAATGTTTATACACTGTACTTAAAATCAACTCATGCAAAGGCACTTCCTTCCTTCCGCTGCATTGCAACTAGTCTCGCTAAGCTCTTTAGAAAGGTATAGCACCTCTAATATGGAAAATCAGCCTCTTTTCAGCAACTCAGGGCTAGAAAGCAGGGAAAGAGGTGAGGTAATAATTAAATAAATCAAAGGCTTTCAATTTTGTCCCAGCCTAAACTTACTGTTTAGGGACTGCTAGACTCTTGACTTCTACCAACTTGGGTGTTCAACCACAGAAAATACTCCCTCTGAGATGAAAGCTCATCAGTCAGAGCCTTCATACTACAGTTTTTAAAAGGCATGTCAACTCTTCACCCTTCTCTGGGTGTGGAAAGAAAGAATTTTAGACTATGGAAGTGGTATTTAGGGAACAGCTAGGTGCTTGCTATGCCTTCAGAGATTAGCAGCTCCTTGTACTAACTATGATGCAAAATGTAGAGCAGTGCTTAAAAAATAACTTTTTCTCTTCCCCTCAAGACACTGGCCGACTCCAGTGGGTATGCACAAATAAATAGTAGTGTTAGAAAATAATTGGTGCTTGAAGATGAAGATCAAAAAGTATTTTGGTGAAGTGGTGCTGGAATCCTGGTGTCTGTGTGGATGCTGGTGAAGACCCCACAGAGAGATGCCCATGGGCTGCAACAGCTGCACCGTAACAATGAACTCCTTATTTTTAAAAGTGTCCTGAATAAGGTTCATGTGCAATTTGTAATTGCATGTGATCTCTGTGCAGTCATGCCAGCATGCTTAATGAAGTGATATACTATTGATTTGGCAGTGTGTTCCAGTCTGGTTGTATATTTGTTGTCACTGTTTTTTATGTGTGTTGACACAATGGGAAGGGCGTTCAGAAAGTTCTTAAAAGGTACTAGTTTCTTTATAAAGAGGTTATGTCAGAATAAGTAAGAAATTGCTGTCAGACAAAATAACTGTGTTATCACAAGGTATAAGTACTTTGCTGTGAATACTTAGTATTTAAAAACAGTACTTAAAAAGTAAAATCTGAATACCCATGAGAATGTTAATGTTTCTGAACTGATTTCAAGATGACCCAGAGTTAAATGGCTTTCAGGTGTGGATTCACAAATGTTGTTGTAGACAGCTGACAGAGATTTCCCCCCTTGTGATTTACTTTGATGCCGTCATCTTTCCATTTATCAATCGTATTCATATGTTTGGAGAAGACTAGCAAATTATTGCATGAAAACTACCGAGAACTGAAGTAATGCACATTAATGATTTCATAAGATGATCTAAAAGCAGAAGAGGAGCAGCAGCAGGTAGAGTGGGCAGTTCGCCACTGCCCAGTGCCAAGCCATTGCTGGTGCTTGTGTCGGTCAGCAAGAGCTGTTGGCCTTCCACAAGGCAGGGTTGTTTGCAGAGACTTAATTTCTTGTTGAAATTTGGTTGGTGCTGACAAAGGGCCATGGCCCTTTTTTTAACGGGGACTTAATGCCCCTGTGGATTGCAAATGTAATGCTGCAATCAGTAAAGCAGCAATTGCTTCATATAATAAGATTTTTGACAGTATAAGCTGACACAGAGGATGTATTGGGAGGAAAGAAATGTTATGAGGGCTTTTTTTTTTTTTTTCCCCTCCCCCCTCGGTCTGCTTTTTAGCTTTCCTAAAGCTCTTTGGGAAGCCTATTTGTGAGACTACTTTTTTTACCCTTAACAAAACACTTCTTTTGATAATGCCTTGATTGAATTGTGGTAAGGCTTATATAGGGAATAATTAAAGTTTGTAACTGGGCAGAGTATAAACAGGTGAATTATAACTTTAATTGCGTGGTGTTATGTGGCATGATTTGGTGTTCACTGTGTAGTTTCTAATAGCAACTAACAGATGCATCCCAACCGAAATGACATGGAATGAGTCAGCTGAATTAATACACTACGAAGCTCGCCTGGAAAAATGGCACTTTTTTTGGAAGACAGATGAAGTATTGAGAGGAGATGTAAAAGAAGTTCTGCTGGAACTCTGTATTTTGTGGCTAAATAAGTTGTTAGCGTGTAATATGTATATCTAATATTTTTAATGATGCTAGAAGATGGCAGAAATAGAAGAAAATATAGAAGAGATGTTTACAGTGTGGAAAAGATTTTTAAAGGAGAGGTTTGTGAAAAGTCTGCATACAGTATGAAGGGAAACCAGAAAATAGTTGCTCTTTATTTTATCTATGTTTCATAGAGTCACATTGCATGATTCAGAATATCAAAAGATAATTACTTTTTTTTTTCCTGATCTAAGGATCTTATGTACCAAAATCACTGACTTTGTGGGTGTTTTTGGTTGTTTATTTCAGCTGGAGTAACCACGGAAGCCATTCAAACTGGTAGTGCAAGCCCAGATTCATTGGGAACAGAAGCAAAAGTTCAGGAAGAGGAGCATGATCTGGTTGATGATGACATCACAGCAGGTGAGCATTAATATAATGAATATGTTATTTTTTTACATACTAGGTACTGTGCAGAGGAGGTGGAACACTTTCTGCCAAATAGCATATTTTTCATGAGAAAACAAAATACTAAGGCTGCTTATGAAGAAGTAGAAAAGAGCTGTAGACAAAAACTAAATACCTGCTTAACTGTAACTACTACAATATTATTGTGTTACTTCTGAATCATAATATATTTTTTAATGTATGTGTTTTGAGCTTTTAAGTCTGCCTGCAGCCAACATGTTTAGCTTGTGGTTCTTGAAGAATAAAGGCTTTATGTGATTCTTTATAGTTAGCCCTTAAATTATCTACCTTGGTGACAGATCTGATGTAATGGTGCTACCCTCAGTCTGCGTGATTGAATTGAGTTGTTTTCCTTGCTTGTTTGTTTTCTACAAGTAAGTGCTGCTAGTTTGTTGCACGTAGAAGTCAAGTGTATTTCATTTCTACAATACTCACAGCTTTTTACTGTTGCTGTAGTTCATTGTGGACTGGCAGGTAAAGTCAAGAGTTCTGGTCCGTCAAGGCATATTCTGAAATGACAGACCATACAAAAGTATGCATTTAATTATGGCAATTATCTTTTGATTCTTTTCATGGTTATTTATGCAGTGTCACAAGGAAAATATCTATATGCTCAATAGCAATATCCTTGGAATTTGAATGATTACAGTATGTATTTTAGCATAGCATACTGCAGATTATAGAGCATGAAAGCTTTTTTTTTTTTTCCCCCTTTGGCTGAGCTTTGTATAGATTTTTGTGAAAGTCTAAAAGAAAACTAGTTATTCCTATTGACCTGAAGACGGTTAGTATGACAGATCTAGTTTTGGGTCAAGTCTCTGGTTGAAGGTGCCTGAGACAGGATTACTGCTGGTGGAAGAGGAGCCTGTCTGGAGAGGGAGCATTAACACAGGTTGAGGGTAAAAGGCTAACTGGAAATAGCCAAGAGGGAGGTAGATGCTGGAAATGCCTTTAGCAGCTAGGGGACGATGCAGGACTTGTCAAGAAACAACAAAGAATAGAGGATGGACCCTCAGAAAAAAATAAAAATAAATTAATGAATGGGCTTTGCATACCTGGAAACAGATTTCCACGGCATGTACATCAGATCAGTGTTTCCTTCAGGAACATATACCTTCTCTTTGGCTCCATGTCTGTTAGAGACCTTCTGGTTCCTTTTCTGAAGCTTTAGTAATAGCAGTATTATAAACAAGTGTGTGTTGTATCTGGGATAGCATTCTGCCCCTTCGATGTCACATGTTCTTTTCACAGGAAAGATTGAAGGTGGGATGCTTTAATGGAGTAAGTTCCAAATTATGTGCGGTTTTTTGCTATGTGCTAGACTGAGTTTTGATTTTTTTTTCAGAAACCTATCTGCTATGTTGTTAGAGTCTGATGGTAGTAACAATTTTATTTACAGAGTAAGTGTTTCTGTTATTAAAAGGAGTTGAATTTTAAAAAAGTATCCTGAGTAAAGATGACATTTCCGTCTACAATTGAATACAGTTAGTTTTGTGTTGGTAGAATAGGGGAAAAAAAAGAATTTTGAGACAATTTAAACTTAACCTTATCTTAAAAATATGCAGTTTCTTTCTATAGTGGTCCTATTAAGGCTAATATTTATTGATTTGACTGCACAAAGTAATGCTGGTGTGCAGTGGTCAACAGGATTTTTTTCAGTTCAAATTGAGATTCACCAAATGCTTTCATTTATCCAAATAATTTTTTAAAAGGATCACTTTCACATCAGTCCTTTTAGAGATTAAAGCATTTTAGCTTAGCTGGCTGAAAAGCACTGAAGCCTGTTTCTGGAAAATACTTCAGTAATACTCTACGGTGCCTCTTAAGCATTTAAAAACACACATGCAGGAGTTATTTAGAAAATGGGGTTTATCTTCAAATGCACTGAGAATACACACATGAATAGTCTTCCAATGTAGTAGTGGTATGTATTTCTGTGCTTAATGCCTGAAAGGCTTTTCTGGGTAACTAAAAGTAGAGCAAATATTTTGCTTAAATAATTCACATGTGGACAACAGCATTTTTTCCTAGTTCAGCATAAAATCTACTGGCTTCGGTGGTTGAAATTTTGCAATTCATCATGATGGTAAATTGGCTTTTCAAAATTTTTTTTTAAATTTAGTAATTTGTAATCTATTTATATTTTCCATGTAATCTTAGGCTCCAAGGTAGCATCTAAGTTTTAATTTAGAAATGCAAATACATTTTTCCAGTAAATAAAGGAATAGCAAAATACTTCAAGAAAAAAAAAAAACACGACAACATAGTATTGTTACATATTTGGAAATACAGATATTTGTCATTATGTTTTAGCACAGGTGCAGCAGCATCTATAGTGGTAGTAAAACAAGGACGTGGCTGAGCATGTAACAGGGATAAAGGGCAAATGTCACTGGTGCTGTGAAAAAGGGATCATTGTAGTGCATCACTACCTCTGAGAGATTTATTTACTTGCAGAGAAAATTATATCATAGCATAAATAGGCTGTCTTTAGAAATCCACTGAATTTACTGTGTGGAGCTGTTTTGGAAAATAAGAACTTAAAGGAAGTAACTTGTGGTTGCAAAGTGTTTGCCTCTGAGCTGTGGAACGTTACCTTAGTAATGGAAATAAGTAACATACTGGGGCATAATATGATCTATATTCTGAATATTGTATGGAGAGTTCTTATACCTAATCAACAGAAACTACTAGCAAGTTTAGAATTAATTTAGTTCTAATTAATTCCCAAGGTAACTGTAGATGTTTCCAGAGTTTCACGAATGTCCTATCGGTGACGTTCGGTACCGCTTGTGGTTGTAATAGGAATGCCAGGTTTTGGTTAAGACCTTAGTGCTGATGGTGCTGCTACAATGAAAGATGACTCTTGCCATGGAGAGCTTGTTCCAATCTCTGTTCTACTGACCTAGATAATACCCCCAGGCTCTTCAGCATTGCACAATGTGGAATTTTTCCATGGCAATCACGTTTTGTAATGATAACCTTAGTCACGTTAGTATTGATAATGACGCTTGCAAAGCACAAACCTGTTCCTGGTTCTAATTAAAGACCGATTTTTTTAAACATTTTTCCCCCTTCCATGAACACTGAATGGCATGTACAGCCACCTCAGCTGCAAAGACTGTAGAAATATAGACTGCCTCGGTTTTGTAGATAAAAGGCTTTCAAAAATATACCTCTGTGTTTAAATCTGTGCCTGGACCACTTCATGGAACTGTGCTTCACTCGTCAGCAAGCTCAGCCGAAGTGTTGCTGCAGTGCTTTGGTGGAAGAGAAGGTGTATGTTGGAATTAATCTGGACCTTCCTTTTGCTATGAAGCAATGGTGCCACGTTCATGTGTGCAAGCCCAAAGAGTTCTGCTAGAAGTTTTGTTCTAATTCTGAGAAATTTGGAGAAGTTTTACCTAAGTCGCAGGGCTCCCTGGAAGGGGGGGTTACATGTCCTTGGAATGTCATTCCAACCTCAGGGAACAGATTTTGTGTCCCCTGATTGATTTGATTTAGAAAATCTGTTGTTTGCTATTAAACAGTAAACAGTTTATGGTTTTCCTATGCTTTGTTTTAAAAGCTATGTGAAAATAAAATGTCGGTGGGAAATCCAAGGCACAGACTGCTGTGCCCCCTCTTATGCCTGCTCCTAGGGGGTAACACTGCTCTGAGGAGCAGAAACCTAGCACCAACAACTCGCTTAAGCTGACTTGCTTGTAAAATGATAACACTCCAACAGGTGGCCTGACAGGTGACAGTTAAATACACTGTTATTGGACCAATTATTCTTTTTGGTATTTCCATAAATAAAACCAGTAACTGATAAGTTTTCATTAAATTCTACTTGAGCCAACATAAACGTTTATCATTTTGGGAAACACTGTGATATAGCATAGTCAATAGCTCCATCAGGATAGTGGGGAATTGAATTGAAATGCAATTTATTCCTTAGGATCTGTGATTCCAAAAAGCTTGGCCATAGGGTACGTGGACTGCTTTAGCTACAGAGATAAGGCTTACTATTTGATCCAGTCCATTCCCTTCTGCATGCTGCTGTGACATGTTAGTGCACAGAATGGGAAGAAATAATGGTCAGCCTTCTCCTTGTCCCTTGGTGATCCCTCGCACAGAGAAAGAAAGGCCTGTTTGAAAACGTCTTGTAGCAGGTTAAGGCAGTAAATAGGTGCTTTAAAAATACTCCTTGTTTAGCCGTGTAACCAAAATGAGTCTTAGTCAAGCACATGCTAACGTATGACTTCTGCATTGTACAGACATGATTATTTCTGATACAAGAGACTTCCAGCAGTTATAGTAGTGCACATACAAAAGTTTATATGGAAAATAAAATCTGGCAATGCTACTGATAAATGTCTGTCAACTTGAAAATTTACTCTTTTAAGTCTCTTCTTTCAATATTCACAAATCTATTTTTGTGCATAATGACTAGTATTTTTTCAGCAATAATTATCCTTTAACTGGTAAAGTCAGAAGCAAGAAATATTGCTAGATTAACCCATATTCTAAACTTCAAAATAGCTCTTTAATCAGTGACAGTATTTGTCTGTGTTAAAGATTCAACAGCGTAAGGGCAGGGATTGTGTTTCTTCTGATTCATCTTGTATCTTACACACCGTCGCTGCTGTTGAAGTGCAGCAGTACATGGAAGGCATCTGCAAACATTTTTCACTTCCAGCATTTTCTCATATTTTGAGCACTTCTTATTTTACCTGCACTGTCTAGGCTTTCCGATTTTGGTACCATATGACTATTTGAAGTAGTTTTGAATTAGTTCCTAGGTGATGTATTATTATTCTCTGTGTGCTATTACAATTTTTTACTCAAAGGCTTACCCTGTAACAGAAGAAAATATTTCAACAAATTGCAAACTGAAAGTTGTAGACAGTCATCTGTTAAGTCATGTACTATGCTTTTTTCTTTATTTTTTAATAATATACTGAGCTTCTGGA